GCTATGCTCTTCCTCGTATAGCTATCGTCTTTCTCCGGAGATGTATACTAAGTACACTCCAGCAATAGATGGGTTAAACAGCGGCGAACTGTGGACTAGAGAGTATAATTCTAGCAGCGGTAGCGGCACGAGAATATGATTCGAACTCCATACTCCAAAGGTTTTGCAAAGATGCTGGCAGAGAAACGGAGTAAGACAGGCAAGAGAGCCTGTTATATAGTATACATGCACCAGTAAACCGACGACCGAGAGACACGGCAAGCCAAGGTGATGGAACTTCCCAAAGTACCGTTCAAATGATACAGGTGCAGATGCGGACATCAGTGACGGAGACTGAGTATGAGAAACAGAGAACGGTGTAAATATATTGACGGTATTTTGGAGAACTCCATGTGCGGTAGATGTATGACACGAGAAGATTCGGCATCATCTTCACCATCATCGCAGCGTATAAACGGGTTTTCAACTATGGTGAAAGACCTGTTGGTGGGAGAAGGTATAATTCCATGAACAACCGGGGTATCATGAATATATTGCAGTGACTATATATGGAATTGAGAAGCGGTAGGATATCAAAATGTCCCCGTATATAATGTTATTGGGCAGCCTGGATAGCAGTGAAAGCCTGGGGAGACATAAGGGTTTATATAGACAGGAACATGGCATTGCTGGAGTGAACTGGGGATTGTTTGCCATTGACACTGGTAGTATTTGTTAGCGAAGGATAATTGCATGAAGGGCAAACTAGAGACTCACCGGGTAAATAAATAAGGAGTAGCAATCACCGCGTATCATTCCAGATAATTTTGATGCAGGCTAAGGCAGTGTAATAGTTATATAGTATTGAATCTTGACAGAGAGTAATGGACTATACGAGGGAATATTGAATCAGGGAAATAGGAAGCGTGTATAGAGTCATGATATGTCATTATAATCATTCAAAGTACATCAAGTGAGCAGCCCCGGGAAGTGATAGACGCCAAAACCATGAGGACACTAAGCCGGGTATATTCGATACAAGATAGCACACAAACAGAATATTCTTGCGAACTGAGCATCAAGATCAGAAAACTCACCAATGCAAATGCTGGGTATAAACAAAGTCAAGCAAGGTAAACCAACACTGGAAGCGCAAAGGAAAGAAAGAAGATAATCAAACATGTCGAAATCAAGCTTTGAAACTATACATTCGAACTTCACAGTCTTCACTTCCGGTTGCCATACGGCTATCGCTGAGGGAGACACAGGTGACAGGTCCTCTATGGCCGGTAAACGTCCGTTCGCAGGTTCCGGTTCGGGGATCCCAGACCTTAGTCATATGGTCCTGAGCGCCGGAGACGAGGCGGAGGGTGTCGGCCGCCAGACCCCAGACGCCTTCGATGTGGCCGAAGAAAGTACGTAGACAGCGGCCGGTATGGACCTCCCACAGACGAAGAGTGGAGTCGAGGGCGGCAGTGAGCATGTAGCGCGGTGGAGCCGGGCGGTCTTCGTTGAACAGGGCTTCGAAAAGGGGGGACATGGGCTGTGTTGGAGGGGCGGAGGTGGTGGGCAGATCTGGCGCATGGTTGCTGTCGTGGCTGGCCCGGTGGTCAGGGGATTCGGATCCAGAGAGGCGATCACTCCTGTCGTCGTCGCAGTGGGAGGTGTGTTTGAACTCGAACTCTCGTGGCAGTGGTAGGACCTGCTGGACCTGGCCTACATGGCCTGCATAGGTGTGGATGCATTTACCGGTATCCAAGTCCCAGATGCGAACGGTCAGATCGTCGGATGCAGAGAATACGGTGCGCGAGGCAGTGTCGAGCTTGACCGCGTTCACCCAGTCGGTATGTCCGCGTAGGATCTGGGTGGACTTATCCTGGAAGTTCCAGATCTTTATGGTGTTGTCCTTTGAGCCTGAGGCAAGGGTGGTAGAGTCAAAGTGCAGGCAGAGAACTCCGCCCTGGTGGCCCGTGTACGTCGATATGCACTCGCCCGAGCGCCAACTCCACACCTTGATGGTTCGATCAAGACTTCCACTGATGAGCTTGGTATCGTCGAACTGCAGACAGCGGATGGTCGACTCGTGGCCTCGAAGCGTGCGTATCTCCTTGCCGGTCTCGATGTCCCAGATCTTGATAGTGGCATCGTACGAACCGGTGGCGAGGATGTTATCATCGAACTGAAGGCACATGACGCCGTTTGTATGGCCCCTGAATATCGTTGTCGTGCATCGGCCGTACTTCCAGTTCGTTCCGACCTTGAAGCGATCCATGTAGACCGCCTTCCATGGCCGATGCTGCTGCTGCTGCCGGCCGGTCACGGCCTCCTTGCCGGCTGCCCGTAGCTGCACCTGGCGTTTTGTATCCTTCAACCGCTTCCTGTCCAGCATGGGGAGGCCCCATCCGCACTTTTCGCATTTGCGATCGATATGCTGCTCACACATGCGATGCCAGACAACGTCATCATCTGCCAGATGCCGCCAGTTGCGAGACACCTGGGCGGCATTGCACAAGGAGGCGGTGTCCAGGTAAGACAGGATCTTGAAGGAGATCTCCGGCGGCAAGGCCGTCACAAAGTCTATGCGGATCAGGTCTCGCACGCTGGCTGACAGGAAGGAGAGCTGCGGAAAGCAGCACTGGGCAACGATTCCCTGCAGCATGAGGTTTCGATGCTTTGAAGGCGCGGCCGAGAACAGGGACCAGAAATGCGCGATGCTCTGCTGGTCATTCTGGGAGAGGGTAGATAGATCCTGTACATCATGTCAGTATAATGTCATATGCTTGTCTTGGTATGCGTACCCTCTGCATCTGGTCGACCGTAGGCTCATCCGCCTGACGACGGCACTTTAGGTCCGGCCGGTGGCGGTAGCAGTACTTTGAATCTGCCTTGCGTCTGGGTAGGGACGAGTCCGCCGGCGCAAACCTGTTCCTGGACGCATGCTGGTCCCTGATATGTTTGGCCAGGAATGGAGCGATGCTGGAGCTAGAGCTGGTGGTGGTGGTGGTGGTGCTGCTGCTGGTGATACTGCTCTCAGTAGAAGTCGAATTGAAGAGAGACTTGGGCTCTAGCGCTGCCGTCTCTGGTGCCTCTGCTGCAGCTCCCCGTCCTCCAGACGTCCCGTCTGACTCCGGCTCTGTGAGCTCTGGTTCAGCAGAAGCCGAAAGCCGTCTGCGCTTCCGCGGAGACATCACCACATCCCGGTCCAAAGTCTCCATCGCGGGCGTTGGTGGTCCAGCAAGCTGTGGAGGAGTGTCTGTCGCCATTACGGTCCAACGTACAGCCTGGCGCAGCTATCAGTATCTTGTGTGTCGTGCCGTCCGAGATGTGTACGGAGCAGGGTGAACGGGAGGAGAGGCCTTGATATATGTGGTATCGTCATATAACTCTTCGGGCCAAGGTTTACCGAGACTCAACACCCAACAACAGCCAAGCAGAGTCCAGCTCCCATCTCGCGGTCTTCACTTCTTGTCTTCACTTCTCGTCTTGTCTCTCTCGTCTTGCCTCTCGTTCTCTCTTTATATCCAAAAGTCTTCTGGTGGCGTGCAACTTTTCCCCTTTTAAGAAAAACGGCGAAAAGGGAAAAAACACGCCAAGACTTGCTGACGTGATCAAAACTGGTCTTGGCGTCGCCTTCCTCACCGCCCAGGGTAGGTCACGTGGACTCCCGTCATTCTGCCACTTCATCACGTCTTTTTTTTCGTTTCTTTTTCAACTTCAACTTCATCTTCGTCTTCTTCATGAGGTTTGTCGACATCTTCCGCTGCACTTCTCGACTTATACTACATGCCCTGTCCCTGCTAGTAGAAGCTAGCGTGAGAGTGCATCGGTCGATGGGATACGGCATCGAATCAGACGGGCCACTATGCCTCTCCCTGTCTTAGGCTAACTGGCTATAGTCTACCGTCTCGGATAAGGCATGTGCCGACTCTGTCTCCCCCCGTTATTATTATTATTATCTACTGTTCTGTATGCGATTTATCAAGGACGTCGTCAGGGGCTGCACTTTGAGCTGTTTGGCTGTGGTTATCACGATACGATAGTGCATAAACCCACTTCTATACCCTGCAGTATAACAGATGATGTCCTCCGCGGCGAGCTCTGCCTCCGTGCAGAGCGAGAGGTCAGAAGAGATGGAGACGAGCCTGTCGCATGCCCAGCCAGATCTGGATACCTTGGTGTCGCACCTTGCAGCCGCCAAGCGGTCCCTCTCCTCCATCCACCATGTCTGGAGGGCCAACGAGATCGTCACCACCGCCCGCACCGCGCTGGAGGAGAGCGTCGTCGTCGCGGCCCGGACCAGTTTCCTTCGTCGAGGCCTGGATGAGCAGATCCGCCTCCTCTTCAAGGTAAGGACCGAAGTGGAAGACGTAGCCCACCGTGGCCGGGCCGAGTTCGCTGCCGCCATCAAGGAGCTGGATGCCGTCGACGGCCGGCTGCAGCAGACCCTCGACAGCTTGCGGGAGACCACCCTGGAGCCGGCGTTTCGTCCCGAGCAGGAGGAGGCGTCCAAGACGCTACATGACTTTATCGATGAGCATGCCGTGGATGACATTCAGTCGCTGCTCAAGGACGCCATCGATAACGTCACCGCGGCCCAGTCAGAGCTCGACGTGTCCAATCGAGCATTCGATAACGATCTTCAGTCCATACAACTGGCTTTGGACAAGTACAGGCTGTCCGTCAAACGAGGCTCCGTCTCCTCCCTGAGCCTGTCTGCTTCTTCGTCTGCCTCCCGGGTCAAGATGCCGTCCCCGGCAGTGATACCGGAGTTTCTTCACTCCCTCGAGCTGAACGCGCAGGAGATGGCTGACCTGCTGGAGTCACTGGTCCGCCACTTCGATCTATGCGTCACCGCAGTCAAGCACACAGAAGGAGGCGGGGTTGTCGCACGCAACATCACAGGCGACCTCCCCACCGACGTTGGTGTGGGGATCCGGGCCGGCGGAAACCCACCCGGCGGCGATAACGACGATGCCAACACTCCAAATCCGCAGCTTGAGCCTCTTACCGACTCAGATTACCGCGATATGGTCAACGTAATCGCCAAGGACGCAGCAGAGGCGGAGGATGTCGTGCTCGAAATCCAGGATCGCATCGCCGAGATGGAATCAACCTTAGACAGAGTCCTGGAACAGCGTGATTCACTAATCGCAGCCTCCGTGTCCACCACCGCCGTGTTTCGCCGGCTGGCGGAGTTTGAGTCAACCCGCTTGCCAGAGTATGTCGCGCAGTCTCACAGTTTTGAGCAAACATGGAAAACAGAACATGAACGCATGGAGTCAGGCATGGCTGACCTGAACGACCTGCGTGGCTTGTACATGGGCTTCCTAGACGCATACGACGGTCTCATTCTCGAAGTTGCACGGCGGATGAGCGCGAAAAAGGCTGCTGAAGATATCCTCAAGGATGCCCGCGCGAGGCTGGATGCCCTGTATGAAGAAGACGCGCAGGCACGAGAGGCCTTCAGGATCGATCAGGGCGACTATCTCCCTTCAGATATCTGGCCGGGCCTGAGCGTTGGGCCGAGCAGAGTGGTGTTTCAGAGGATACGTGCAGAGGACGCCGCCCAAGTCGACGACGCTACGGAGCTCGACCATGCTGACCCAGAAGACGGCGGCCAGGCTCCGGCCAAGGAGAGCAGACAAGAAGATCATTTCGGCGAGAGCATCCCTAATCTACCCAAGCACGTCATTGAGCAGGCATTCGCACGCCTCAACTCCAGAGGGGCAAACCTCCCTTCATAAATCCTTTCTTCAGTTCAGGATAACACCGTCCATCATCTTGTGCGATATGTATCATACCTAATAATAATAATAGTTAACCCTTGCTTTAACACCAACTGTTCAAACGAGTAAACCGCAACATGACTGTCGTATGATGCAGCTGAACTAGTAGTATATAAACATCCCATCAGAGCTCTCTTTGATCCTCATAGCTCTCCTCCTGTCGCAACCATCGAACCCCTTTACATCTTCCATCTCCTTACATCTTCCTCTCGCACGATAGCAAGAGGAGAGTATGAAGCAATGTGCATATGCAAGCACTGTCCAGCTAGGAAATCAAGCGTGGCCAGAGCAAGAGAGATTCAATAGTACAGACAGGGATGAGCAAGTAGGATAATTTATCGGTGTAAGACAAATATTTTATTTTTTTCATCATCTGGGTGTTGAGGGTTTGCCTGGAGGGAAGCTAGAGCCATTACTATGCATACCTGGACAGACGTTTTGCCTCTAGACGATCCATCGACGTCGACACGATGATACTCTATAATATTCCACGGAGACAGAAAGACAGCCCAGATCTAAATGTCATGACGAGAAATCGTTCTAACGATGCGCCCATCGCTAACATATTGATTCCTACTAGTTATCGACGGCCGCTCAGGAAACGCAGTATATCTAGGTCGTGGTTGCACGAAGGTCATCACTATCATTTTCACAGCTCGCCACAAGATCGAAAACCAACCGTTCTAGACGCTCTAGTTTCTTTCGAGAACCAATACTTGCTCTCGGGTGAAGGGCGTGAGAGATCCGTCAGCTCTTCCCCGATATCAGGGGTGCATACCACCCGTAGCCGTGAGATCCTGCATATTCTTCGTTCGCTAGAGATATGATAAAAGACTGTTTGGTATGAATTCAGATTGTGGCTCACATTGTTATTTATGGTTTTATACAGACAAGGATGGCTCGGTTGTAGGAAGATGCTTGGCTACAGCGTTTCCTGCATATGTTTGGCTCGATGCTTTCAATAGCTCGAAGACGATAGAACCTTCGAACGATCCCTTGACTTGACAGTCCTGTTGTCATTTATGATTGTTATCCGCATCTCCGCAAAGGAAGAGTACGGGGTTGTCCGATGCAGAGGAATCTAAATGACCAGATCTGCCTTGCTAGACGGCTTGATGTATGTGTTCTGTGGGCTGCAAAAGAGAGGGCGAAATATTACTTCCCGTCTCTCAAGGACCAGGTGCATGTCGAAAATCGATGTGTAATATTCGTCTCTGTCGATAAATCTCCTCGCCCTGGTGTTTCAAGTCCGACAATCCAACGCTGCTGGCCGTGATGTGTCTATCAAGTTAGCAGACATTTTTGACAGCAGGCTGGTTAACCTGAGAAACTAATTCTCTCTCGTTCTCTCAAATTTGGTTAGATACAATAAATTAGTTCAGTGGCGGATTCCCGACGATACGTTCCCTCCCTCCCCCGTACTTCTTAACCCTACGCCAGGGAACTTCGCTAGGGCGCCCTGCACAACACCTCTACGGGGACGGCTCCAAGAGTCCCTGACAACCCCAAAAATGGCGCACTGAACCATCAGTTCTAAGGAGAGACGGCTCCAAGCCGCCTGGGATGGTGGCTCAGGGCACCAATGGACGGGCTGATAAGGTTGGTGGACACAGCCAACGGGGCATTTGTATCTCCAGCTGAACCACGAAGAGAGAGCTTTGGCTTGCCTCCATCCTCCCTGTTCATAGTATTAGTGCTATATAGGAGCAGGTCTTGGGGTTTATATCAGGTTAAGCTCTTCTTGGTATCGCATTACTGCTTAATACTGCTAGATCAAGGTACGGATATACCAATCGCCAATTGCAAAGGGGAGGTCAAAACCAAAGGTGCCCAGATCAAGGACAGTTTCAAACCCAACTACCCCGTTCAATGGTAGGCCATCATCACCGGATCCCGGCTCATCCTGCACTGTTCCCCTTGGAATCATTTTGCACTCCTTTTTTAGTATTTTTTCATATCCAGAGTTGGCATCTTCGCTATCATATTATGTTTATTTATCCCCGCTATTCTCCGTGCATAGTATATGTTTGGTGTCACTTTTGCGGCTAAGTATATGGAAGTTCCCCCCCCTGGACAAATACATACCATCTCACGGAATTATTATTATGCACGCAATATTAAAACGACTGGATAACTAATCCCGGCCGTCTTGCATGCATGGAAAAGATCCGCTCCGCTGGTTTGGATAGCTCACCTTGCCTCCCCGGCGGAAACAGCAAGGTATACCTAACAACCCGACATTCTTCTGTCCATTCAATTGAACATGGTTGACTGACGCTCTTCATCAGGAATAAGCAATAAAAGCAACTTTGGCTTCTGACGCGGGAGACTCCAGAAAAGATCTTCAGGATTTAACGCCCGCTAGACCTGGCCGAGTACGGGAAACGGGCGATAGTGAAGCCACCAAAATACCCTATGTAAAATTTATTCGGATGGGTCCTACCGCAGCCAAACTGCACCCGAACGAAGTGTCCCATTTAGCTTAACACAGCGGATGGGACGTTCGTATAAATCCCCAGAAGATGGACCCTCCATGCTGGCTGGTCCTGAGTTGGTCCATAAGCTTTAAACGACGACATCCTTTCTCCCGATTCCCTCTTTCTCGTAGGCAGAATTTCAGGTTGAAAGTGTCCAGAGATTTCCTTCCTTCGTCCAACTTCACCCTATCCGTCATCAGCATTCAGCCAGTCACCAGCATCAGCCAGTCATGGATTTGACACCAGTCCTAGTTGAAACATGGACTCTTTACGCCATAGGGTCTACTATGATCGGAGCGAGAGTGTTCGTTCGAACAAGACTGGTTGGAATCCAAGGTTACGGCCCTGATGACTATCTCGTCTGGTTTACTTGGGTGAGCAAAACCACCCCTTTCATTACCCAACTAGCCCGCCAATATCGTGGATATTAATGTTTATATTAGCTGGTATACACCACAGTCTCTATAATTGCACATGTTTTCTTAGTCCAAGCTGGAGGAAAGCATACATCAGTGTTGACAGACGAGCAACGGGCGAGTTTACCTTTGGACCAATGGAAAGATTGGGAATATGGCTCGAAGCTCTTCACATTCGGCTTCCTAAGCTACGCCACCATTGTCTGGAGTCTGAAGTTTAATATGCTCTTTTTCTATCGGCGGCTCGTTAGAGGGCTGCGGATAGAGCGATTCATTCTTCCAGCTTTTGGATTCGTCGCTGCAGCTGGAATTGCTTCTATCCTCACATTCTGCTTGGCATGTGTCCCTTTCACCAAGTTATGGCAAGTGTATCCAAACCCAGGAGGTGAGTTGTTTCGATATATCCCCATCACCGTTTAACAAAGCGGGAAACCATAGGAGCTGACGCAATATAAATGCAGGCCAATGCTATCCACAAAACCCTGTGACGTTTTACACTGTCGCAGTTTTGAATGTCCTTACAGATATGTGCATCATTCTCATTCCCATTCCGGTAAGCATCTATTCTACCAAGCCTTTTCATTTGCATACTTCCGTCTAACGCGGATATTTCTAGATGGTTTTGCGCGTCCAAGCTAGCGTCATGCGCAAGATTGGTCTACTGATGCTCTTCGGTCTCGGCATGTTCTGTATGATTGCGGCAGTTGTCCGTGTCGTGCTTATTTTCAAGGTATGTTAAACTTTACATATCAAGGCCTGAATAGAACTAGTACTGACTCTCCCCGTCTAGCTAAAACGCCATGGTGATGGAGCCCTATGGTCTATCCGTGAAGATTTTGTTGCTGTTATTGTCGGCCAGGCACCTTTGGTCTACCCGATCACGAAACCCCGATTCTGGAAAAGTATCTTTGGTGGTGAACAATACCAGGACACAAGTGAGAGCCATAAGTATAACAACAGCAGCGGATCATCGAAAAGAAAGGTCAAAGACCCTTACACGATTACTCAGACGGAGCTTACCATGGTTGACAAGTCGGAGAGCACAGAGGAGATCATGAAAGTGGAGGACCAGGACAAGATGGACGGCGGAATCCTTGTACAAAAGACATATAATGTTGATGTTGAGAGCTCAAGAACCGAGTCCGGTCACGAAGACAAGAAATACCCAGGTCAGGCGTTTTAGAGGAATTGGTTTTTTATTTTATTTTATCCTTGTTATTCATTTACCATAAGGGGTCTTTATGGAGTGCTTATGGAGATGGGTGGTGTTCCGTCCATATTGCCGGAGAAATACTCGGCTTTCTTCTGTATACTTACATAGTTATTTAACCTTTTTACTCTTGAAGAATTTTCTTCGTCCCACCGAATCAAAGGCGAAATTGGCTGCACCTCTCTTGATGTGGTAGTATGTATATGGAGAATGTCAAGCTGGAGCTCGTATTTCGTGGATATTTTGACATGTATGATGTGAAGTGCGGTCCGAAGACGTCTCCCGTTTTCGTTTTCGTCCCGAGCCCCTGAGAGCCGAGCCGCTCAAGCCATCACGCCCAAAGTGGCACCCGCCTGACAAGCCTCATAATCACGATATAACCTCACAGCCTTGATCCGATGTATACCATCAAACATGCGAAGTCAAAATATCAAAATATCAACAAGGAGATTCCAGTAAAGAGGCAGTGAGAGGTCGTTTCTGGCGGGACAAACCCTGTCTTATATAAGCATAAACTACTTAAACTATATTATGAAACCTTATTTATCAGCATTCACGGGCCGAAATTATTCCGATTATAGTTCTCGGCATTTCACGTGATTTTCCGGCTTGCTTAAGGATTTGATATGAAGAAGGCGAGCTTTTAACAGAAGCCCATATAGAAGGTTTACTTGACTCCCTCGTACATATCAGAACCGTCATTCGAGAGGGTGTAGAAGCAAGACATCTCCCTCCGAAGACACGCCCCTGTCCCAGTCGGTATCCGGCTCGTCCAACTCTGTCATCTCAACTTCAATCATGTCTTCTTCTCCCTCTTCTTCGTCTCGAGATCTCTCGTAGCAAACCCACCTGGGGTTCTTGGACAGGAATGCCTTGTTAGCCTTGCTCGAAAGCCATCGGTAACGAACTTTGCGGAACTGCAGCGCGCAGACTTGTTCTCCAGGTACTGCATATTGCGCCTGCCTTCCTTCAATGACCTGGTGATGACCAGCAACACGAGGATCCGCGATGTTTGCGAACGGTAAAACGCTACCAATAGCAGCAAAATTGAGGCCAAGGGGTATCTTGATCTGACCTGACACTGCCTTTCCTTGCACAGACTCTTCGGAAATGCAAGCATTTGATACGGTGTGAAAGCCAACGATGACGTATATATCGTCGCCCTGATCAATGGCCATTTCAACCCATTTTCTGGTTAATTCTAAGCTCATGGCCTCTGCAAACCATTGAGCAGAGTTTCCGAGCATGTATGTCGTCACTTGCTCCGCAGTGATGCGGATCTCCGTGTTCAGTCGTTTTGAGATGCCAGACGACATGAAGGAAACAAGCGTGGATTTAAACCCGGCGCGAGAATCTCCAATTTTTGAACCACTGAAGTCTTCTCGAGATGAAACGATGGTCTCTCGGACGCCTGCACACGGCGGATCATGGTAATCTTGGTGTGGGTAGCTTATGCTAATAGTGAAGCGGCCCAGCTTAAGGGACTCCAGGGGCAGGAAGAACTGTGGGAAAAGAATGCTGGATGATGGCATAGTTGATGAATAGAAGTGTATGTATTTGGTGTCTGGTAACATGCCAAAGCTACAGTCAAGTAATGCCTCTTGGCTAGGCAGATCCTCAGCCTCCAGGTTTTATCAGTTGTCAGCCTCATCGAGCCCCGCATGTATAAAATATGGTATCTCCTCTTGTCAGCAATAACCTCCAGCCCCATTTTTGAGCGCACCTTGATCTTAACCATCACCACTAGATCCACAAACAAAGACATATATGGAAGGAAAAGTCCTCGGTGTCGACCTTGATCACCCGCTCCGAGTGGTGGACGATTTTCTAGCTATTGCCAGTCAAGATGCATGTAAGGTGCCATCACATTTTGCCCTTGTTCGCTACGAAAAATACAAAAATACCGGGAATATAGGCGACATTAATGACGCTATCAAATATGTGAGGTTAGCAGTACAGTGGACGCCGGAAGGCCACCCTCTCATGGCTAGCCGGCTTAACAACCTAGGAATCATGCTTATGGGCCGCTACGAAGGGACAGGGGGTATATCAGATCTTGAGGAAGCCATTGAAGTGACACGACAGGTCATTACATTTTCAGAAAATCATCCTGAGCTTGCCGGTTTCTTAACCAATCTTGGGAACCAGCTCGGATTCCACTACGACAAAACTGGAGAGATGAAAAGCCTAGAGGAGGCAATTTCTATATCGCGGCGAGCCGTCGAGTTGGACCTCTCTGGCCCGAATCGTCCAATGTTATTAAATAACTTATCAAACTGGCTTAGCGAACGGTATAAAAGGATCGGAGAGATACAAGACCTAGAAGTTGCAATCCGACTAACGAGACAAGCTATTGAATTGACACCAGAAGGCCATCCAGACAAAAGAAGAATCTGGCTAAGCAACCTTGGAAATCAACTTGAAAACAGATATATTCGTATAGGAGATGTGGCCGACCTTGAAGCCGCCATCCAAATAACAAGACAAACCCTCATGGACACTCCAGAGAGTCGTCCTGAACGGGCAAGAATCATGAACGACCTTGGAAATAAGCTTGAAAGCCGATATGAAAGAACTGGAAATATGCAAGACATCGAGGAAGCAATTCAATTAGGACGGATGGCGATAAAGTCTACTCCAAATCGCCATCCTGGCCTACCGCGAAGATTGAACGATCTAGCAAATAAACTTGAGAATCGATATATGAGAACAGGGGAAAAGCAAGACATCAACGAGTCTATCCAGTTATCACAGAAGGCGGTTAACTTGTGTCCAAATGACCTTCCTGCTCGGGTAGGCTGGCTTGCTAACCTTGCAATGAAACTCAAAAATCGGTATGAAAGAACGGGCGAGCTACTAGATCTCAATAGAGCAATTCGAGCGGCACGGTCGTCAGTAGATCGGTCGCCGGACAACCATCCCGAGCATGCTGAACACTTGAACAACCTGGCAAACCTACTTGAACGACAATATGAAAGAACGGATGACATTCGGAGCATCGAAGAGGCCATCCAAATATCACGGCAGGCTGTGGACCTTACCCCAGATGATCATCCTGACCGAGCAATATTCCTAACTAATCTAGGAAATAGACTTAGCCACATTTATAGGCGAAATAGAGAAGCCCAAACCTTAGAAGAGGCGATTTGTTTGACACGGCAAGCCGTTGAGCTGATTCCAAAGGACGCTTCCAGTCGGCCGAGCTATTTAAATAACCTTGGAAATAAACTCAAGGCTCGATATCAAAGTGTGGGTGATATACCTGACCTTGACGAGGCTATCCAACTGATAGAACAAGCTATTGACTTGACCCCTGCAAACCATCCTAATCAAGTGGCATATTTGATCAATTTAGGAAATCATATTGAATGTCGATATGAAAGGACACTGCTCAGGCAGGATCTCGCTAGAGCTTGTGGTATTTTTTTCAGAGCATGGAATTGCCAGAATGGCATACCGTTCCATCGCCTGCGCGCAGCTTCAAGGCTTCTCAAGTTACTCCCACTGCAGGGGGAGTTTGCAATAGCTGCCCAACTTGCAAAAAGGGCTATAGATCATCTACCCATCATTAACAGTAGGTCTCTGGATCTTCAAGACCGACAGTTTGTTGTTTCTATGTTTGCCGGTATAGCGGCCGATGCCTGCTCGCTATTTCTGGATTCGCAAAAGCCTGATAAAGCGCTTCAATCTCTTGAAAGTGGCCGGGCAGTCATTATCGGCCAGCTGGTGGATGATCGGAGTGATATTTCGGGAATCAGCAAGCTGTGCCCGGAGCTTGGTAACTCTTATAGGAGCCTTCTTGAGGAAGTCAACAAACCCCACGATGATGGGGCTCCAGATTTGGAGCAACATGTACAGCGACGTCGCACCGCCGTAAAAGAGCTTGACGCATGCATTCAGAAAATTAGGACTCTTCCGGGTTACCAACGCTATTTACTAAGTCAAAACATAGCGGAAATGCAAAAATGTGCCGCGGATGGTAATATCATAATTGTCAATGTGACCACAATACGAAGCGACGCAATCGTTGTTACCTCAACCTCAGTTCGAATTGTACGACTCCCCATGATGGCAGCGTCAGAAGCACAACCTTGGTTGCAGAAGCAATGGAATGGCAGCAAAGTGGAACGCGGTAAGAAAAATAAAGAATACCTAGGCTACCTGTCATGGCTATGGAGAGTATGCGTCAGCCCAATTCTGAAACATATTAACGGCTTTATGGAACCTCTAAAAGAAGAGCCCCCCAGAGTATGGTGGATTGGATCTGGCCTTGCCAGCTCGATGCCATTCCACGCTGCTGGAGACTACTCTTCGGGGTTGACTGACAATGCTTATTATACAACTTTATCCTCGTACACACCTTCCATCAAAGCACTCACCCATTCAAGAAGTGGATTAAGCTCCAAGGATGATATTAATGGTCACTTTCTTATTGCTACTATGGGAACTACTCCCGGCCTGGTGAAACTACCCGGAGTTTCAACTGAGAAAGATGGAGTTGTACAAGCACTTGATGGTGTTATTACACCAAAACAACTTACCCAACCTAGCACTGACGAGATCCTTAAAACGCTAGACGATTGCGCGTTTGTGCACTTTGCTTGCCATGGATACACAGACCAAACAGACCCGTCGAGCAGTGGGCTGATATTTCAAAAAAACGATGGGTCAGATTTGAAGCAAGATATTATGACAGTACGGGACCTTTCGAAAATAAATCTCAAGAACGCTCGAATTGCTTATCTTTCTGCATGCTCGACTGCCGAGAACAGAGTGGCGAAACTGATAGATGAAGAAATTCATGTAGTCACCGGTTTTCAGGTTGCTGGGTTCAGACATGTTATCGGATGTTTGTGGCCTTCTATTGATAGAGTGTGCGCAGAAGTTGCCCGGGGTTTTTACTCGTCCCTCTTCCGTAATAGAAACACACAGTGGGGAGATAGAGATGCCTCGAAAGCACTGCGTGAGAGTGTGATGGAGGTTTGGACAACAGACCTGAAGAGACCGCTGAATTGGGCACAATTCGTTCACTACGGGCCTTGACAACGTCAAAAGAAGCTTCCATATAGCCTCTGCCCTGTTAAGATATTGGATGTGTTACTGATAGGATAGCTCTATATGCAGGGAACTGGCAAGTACTGCACAAGTTGTGAAGGAGAGCCTCAGAAAAAGCTTGCTAAGTAACTGCCGTTCAATACTGAAAATTAAGCTAAGAAATCATTTCGATACATTGTCCTTTCAGCTTCAATCAGCAAGCTTCTCGTTCTTCACCCTCAGCCGAGTTCCATTGATACCCAACTATTCCAATAAAACTTCTCCACTACAGCCTGGTGAACGCCAACCTACACTTACTTATTCCACATTCCGCAGATGACGAGCCTTTGCTAGGCTATTCAACGTTCTCAAAGTTGACGGGTGATCAGGGCCTAACACCTTCTTGCTCAACTCAGCTGCTTGCTCGTGCATTTCCAACGCCTCTTTAAATTTACCCTGGTTATAGAGTACTTCTGTGAGGTTAACCATGCAGTATTGCGTGAGTGGATTTTCAGGACCCAGGGCCTTTTCCCTCAACTCAAGCTCTTGCCGGTGTACCTCCTCAGCCTCCTGATACTTTCCCTGACCGCTGAGCACTAACCCCAAGTTATTCATGGTGCTCAGCGTATCTGGATGCTCAGGTCCCATAGTTTCCTTCCTTAGCTGGAGCCCCTGTGTATGGAGCTCTTCTGCTTCAACATACTGGCCCTGGGACTTGAGCACCTCTGCGAGATTGTTCATAGTGTCCAGTGTGCTTGAATGCTTCGGACCCGACAATTTTGCTTTCAACTTCAATAATTGGCGCTGGATGCCCTCGGCCTCCTGAAACTCTCCTTCACGTCGAAGTATCTCTGCCAAACTGTCCATTGCTATTATAGTGTCTGAATGTTCGGGCCCATGAAGTTCCTGGGACACCTTCAGAGCAAGTCGATACTTCTCCACGGTGTGCTCCGGCTTGTCCAGCAACAAAAGGATATGTGTACGAATGGACATAACTATGACTATCGACGGATGATGGGAATCAAGCAGCTCTTCGAATATACTCAGAGCCTGTCTGCTCAGCTCCTCGGCTTCCTCAAGCTTGCGCCCTCCATAGAACAAGACAGAGAGATTGTACATAGCAGCCGCTGTTTCTTCGTGCTTTTCGCCAAACTCTCTCTTCTTCAACTCTAGATTCTCTTGGACCATCTTCACCGTTTCATCGAATTTTCCTTTTTTCAGGTTTTTCTTCCACTTTGTTGCCTCATGCCCAAGCAAAATTATCCTTAAAGGCCCAGGATGTATCCTAGGAATTCCCCCTTGTCTCTGTGAGGTTGTCGAAAAACCCCCGTTTCCGGAGTTCGGTCTAACCTGAGGAGCAGGGGTATTTTTAGTCGAACCTTTGGGACGAGGCTCCAGGCCAAACAGACGGCGAAAACGACCCATATTTTCTCCTGAACGGTATATAATGAGGGTTAATATGCACTTAGGCACGAGATGATCTACAGGACAGTTAGGTGAGTATCCGGGCGATGTAGAACTCTTAGGCTACTTACATTAATATCGGAGGAGCAATGCAGACGAAGGAATACCGATGCTAGGTGCATCTCAGCTACGCACAGAATATAGACTGGGAGGCAGACAAATTTATAACTGAGGCACAGGCGGCCTGTGCCTCTTTCAAAGGTTACTCAGGCTTAATTTTGAGGCTGATCCGCGATCATAAGCGCTTATTCGAACCTCAGCCTGACATGGAAACCCCTGTAGTGCTGGTCAGCCTGTGCGGCGCATCCCTCGTAACTGATACGATGGTCCCTATATATATCCATTAATTATATTGGTTGATGTAGCTGCTCAAGGTAAAAGCAAGGCTGAACCACAGCCTCACCTATACGGTTTCGACCTCTGAGTAGTTAACTAGCTGTAGCCCAGCCTTCCCTTCCCTCTACTTACATAGTAAGTAATAGCTTCGGAGTACAACAACCTGATAATGGTTATATGCAACTGGGTGGATGAGAATATGCTTATATGGGCGCTTCAGGCTCCATAACTACGGCCCCACAAGAGCATCTACATGTCTTATACCCGAGTATTGATATATTCGCCAATAGGGGCCAACTATTAAGCTAAGATGTCCCTGACCAGAAGAAATATTTATCAGGCAATAAGGCACATCAACAGTTTTATCTTGGTGGATCATATGATATTGATGGGGCATGGTGGTATCTTCTGAGTGGCATCTTGTTCAATCTGACGTTGGAGGTCTTGAGGATGATTGTTTTCTCAAACAAAAATAGAATAGATAACTGTGGAATATGTACATTTAACCATGAATATTGGAGCCCGAAATATCATCGAATACAGTTAGAGGGTAATAGTAAAGATGACGAGTCATTATTATTGGGTATAGCTATCATAGAGAAAAAGAAAAAGTACTGAAAGGCTAAGATAAAAACACAAATGAAAAGAACCATCTATATATCATCATATCAACTAGTCAAGGAAACCTTCTGGTTGGTGTAATTTTGCCCACGATTTGCAACCACCTCATGGTACATCCATTCACCCACATCAGCGCGCTGTATGGTATACCCCACAGCAGGCTTATCGTCAGTGCCCACCCTGAGTGTCTTCCAACCCTTACCAGTGGCAATGTTAAAATCGCCCGTCAATAACGAAGGTCGAACGGTCATAACACCGCTAAACAGCCGAGCAGCAGGTGAAGGATCAGCCACGGCGTTGAACACAGCTTCTTCCATCTTCAGCTTGTCTTTGTGGGGGACGGCAAGGAAGTAGTGATATAGCGGCCTGAAAGCCAGAGGGACGTCCTCCGTCTTGCTGATTCCAGTAGTAGACACAACAGAGAAGAATGGTTGGGTCTTGGGTCTTCCGGCTCCCTCAGCTGCCGATTGCACCTCCCGTACGGCAGAGATGATGTTGCTGGTGGCTTTTTCACATACATTGGGATCGTTGAGGGTAACTGGCTGCATAATAGAGGCTTGGAGCTTGGGCGTTGAACCGATACCAGAAATTATGGTTGGAACTAGAACTCCGTCATTGCAAGCAGGAGCAACGGTTCGCTTGACGGCTTCGATGTCGTTGACGTCTCCCTGAACGATAGTGAGCTGGCTATCGATGACAGATTGATCGATTCCTTGCACTTTGAGTTGATCCGTCAGTTTTGAAGGTGTTCGTGCAAGCGCGACGACATTGTAGCCCCCCTTGAGGGTATGGGCGAGGCAGGAGTTTGCACAACCGCCGGTTGAGCCGATAAAAGCGATAGGATTGGCCATTTAATGAGCTGTTGTAGACGGTATTAATAGAGAATCAAAAGTGATCGAGACGGTATGAGATTTGCTTGTATGATGGTTTGTGATCAATCGCTCGACTTCTGGCGGAAATGCTGAAGCTTTAAGTAGGATTGAATAAATCATCCGTTCGCTGGCGGATGAAGGATTCTGTCTTTCTGCATATCAACCACTTACTATGAACCAACCGATAGCTCGCACTGACTACATCATCTGTGGCAGTACATCCCGTCGGCGAGAAGGATTGTCTCTAGACCGATCTTGGGCCTTTGCCGCGCTTCTGTAGCTAATCGGGTGAATATCAGGCCGATTGAGGGGCGAACTCGTTCTTTTTTCAGGCTGAGCGAACAGGCAGCCGCATTATCATGATTGCATATTGCAATAAAGAGCAGAAACATCATGGATTCCTATCGAGAAGCTATGGTTATACACGTCAACGAAGGGGCGCACCCGTACGGCGTAGGCAACGTTCATGGTACGGCCGTTGCCTCAGAAATAACTGGCAGCCTCGCGTATCTCCGTACGGAGTACTTTGCCATGACAAGTCCTGAATTGAACCTGAAGGTGTCCTTCTTATGCTTGCGTCTGCTGTTCTCATATTTCCAGACTAACTAACGAATAATCAGAATCCCAAGAAAAATCCAAGTGAAGATAAAAGAGGTCGATGGGTGAGATTTATGCCGACCAATAGAAAGTGAGCTGTGTATCCACCAATAAAACTAGAGTATTAGCAAGTTTAGCCAATAGAATTAAAGGAAATAATATGGGCCTTGATTAGTAAGATTATCCGTATGCTGTGATTGAATATTAGTCAAGTCACGTTATAATGCATAAAAATAAGCCAATAAAAACTTAGTTAATAGAGTAAATAATTTCAAGCCGCAATAAAATCTTTTTATCGGAGATACTTAAAGCCACCTACGCGCCATGGTGTCCTGGATATTCACCATGCTTCTGTTTGATATGCCCGACGAGGATGAAAGCCACGAATAATCGCCCCCAAGGAGCTGGTTGGTCTTCACTTGGCCGACTTCACAGGTTTCTTTCTGAGCTTCGACAGTATGCCTGTGATGAAAGTGGCAGTCAGAACACCGAGGGAGAATGTCGTACCGAGCAACTGCCAACGGAATGGACGGGCTCTGCCTCAGTATTGTGACATGCAATAGCCCTGTGAGCCAATAAATGTATCCAGCAGAGTTGGGTAGAAGTTGGCTTTATCAATATAATAATCATACATATAGCTGTACAGGCGGTGATTCTGGAGCTCGCCAGTTATACCCGACGTCCATGTTACCCCGATCTCCCCAGGTCTGTGGGAACTGGGACTAACCTGTTGATAGTAAGAAAATCCCCAGGCAGATAGCGCCGTGCATATATACTCATGGGGATATCTGAACTACAGTAACCCCTGGTTACTTGTCGAATCGGACTTAGCATAACAAAACATGAAGCTATTCCCGCAAACACCGGCTCTTTTTTATCTCCAGCTGGTTCGTTATCTCCGCGGCCCAGGAGAATTACCCCAGAACGGTTGCATTGGAGGCATCAACAGGGACTTGAGCTGGTTCAACGAGTAGATCAAGGATATATCATCCCCCCTGCTAAGGGGTATGGATTTCGATATATCGTTGTCTATTTCCTATAGTATATATACATTTGTATGAACCAGGAAGAAATGGCATCCCACTTCACCAATCGCTTCCCATTATGGACACACCAAAAGCAGGTTGCTCTGGAGCCGCCTCAGAGCTTGCAAACACGAACGCAAAGACATCTGTCACTCGAACTGACGAACTCTCGCCGGTTGACTGGAATGGGCCAGACGATCCAGAGAATCCATTGAACTGGACAGCCTTCAAGAAATGGCTGGCTATCACCGTTATCGCATATATCACCTTTGTCACGTAGCTAAGCTATCCCCCCAATACCCTATAGGCTTCGCCTATGCTATGCACTGCTAATTCTATCTTCAGTTCTTATGGATCAACTATCTTCGCGCCTGGTGTTCCAGCTCTTCTACAAGAGTTTGGAGTCACCAACACCTCACTGGCATCTTTCGTCGTTTCAATCTACATTCTAGGCTTCTGTGTCGGTCCCCTATTTTTGGCACCTTTTAGTGAGCTATACGGGCGAATACCCATAATACATCTGTCAAACGTATTATTCCTCATATTCTCGATTGCTTGTGCTGTGAGCACCAATTTTGGAATGTTCATCTTTTTTCGGTTAATGCAAGGGGTCTCCGCTTGCCCTCCCCTGACCCTTGGTGGAGGAATGATATCTGACCTCATGGTTCCCACAGAGCGCGGGAAAGCTCTGAGTATTTGGGCAATGGGGCCTTTATTGGGCCCTGTCGTTGGGCCTGTTATTGGAGGGTATATGAACGAAACCATCGGCTGGCGTTGGACTTTCTGGTTTACAGCCATCATGGTAACTCAATGAACCCAGACTCTTGATCTACATTTATATATACTAACACATCTAAAAGACGGGAGTTTCAGCATTAGCATCTGCCGCAGTTCTGAGGGAAACTTATGCGCCCATTCTCCTTGAAAGGAAAGCTGCTCGTTTTCGCAAACAAACCGGAAACCCAAGCTATAAATCTAGGTTTGACAAAAACCTTTCCCCTGGCCATCTATTTAAACAGGCAATTATTCGTCCAACAAAAATGCTGGTACTATCGCCCATTGTCTTGGTTTTGGCAATGCATATGTCAATCATCTACAGCTACTTATACTTCCTGTTTACAACTTTCACCTTTGTCTTCGAGGATCGCTATGGCTTCAGCTCTGGAGAAGTAGGGCTTGCATATTTGGGTTTAGGCGTTGGTTTTATCGTTGGCCAATTCGGTGTTGGATACTCTTCTGATCTCTATGTCAAGAAGAAGTTGAAAAAGTCCGGTGTCATGAAACCTGAGTACCGCCTCCCGCCCTTAGTGCTTAGCGCATTCCTTATTCCAGTCGGCTTATTCTGGTACGGCTGGACTACCGAGAAGCAGGTACACTGGATAGTACCAATTGTTGGTACAATCTTCATTGGTATCGGTACTATGTGTGCATTCCTACCAATACAGATATACCTTATCGATACATTCGGTATTTACGCGGCCAGTGCTCTTGCAACTAATACCGTTGTCAGGTCCTTATTTGGAGCAGTTTTGCCCCTCGCCGGCCCGCCTCTATTCAAAAGGCTGGGCCTAGGATGGGGAAATAGCCTATTGGCTTTTATCGCTTTATCCTTGTCACCAGCCGCATTTTTCCTACTCAAGTATGGGGAGTACATCAGGACACACCCAAAGTTCCAGGTTAAACTCTAATTCCTTGCATACTGTTATACTCCTGTCCGCTCCTTGCAAGCCCAAATGAACGATATATAGAACACACATCTACAAAAATATCACTCTTAATCCAGTTCGTGCCTTTCTTTTTGCTCTGCCTTCATATACTTCCATTGGCTCACAGACCACAGCTTAATTTGCACGCTACGCTTAAGGCACTAGGCGCAACCTTAACTTACACCTTCTATACATAGTAAGGTGGTTAGAGCCAGTATGTGGTCTATAGAGAAGCTGTTGTAATTCGGGTAGGCCACAGTCGCGTCAGAGTTGCCTCCCCTGAGTCGGCCGTCAGTTGTAGGCATCGCACGCTGTATCTAAATGGTTCTGATACCGGTCAGCGCCTTGCCTGAGGGCGCTCAGGAATGTCATGGCGTGAAGCCGTTCCCCCCTTCACGTGATCTCCTAACTACGTTCAACAGTTTAAAAAACCGACATTCTTCTTCTTGATCAAATCATCAGTACATTCGTTCGTTAAGATCCATATCTAACCAGGAGGAAGAATGGACTCGCTTGGCCGAAAAAAAGTACTTGATGGATACGACTGCATCAACTTAGATGGCTTAAAGGAGGAAATTTCTCGTTTCCTTGGGCTCGAATGCTGTTTTATTATGGATACCCAGAAAAGGCCGTTTGGTGGTAGTGAGTGTGTGATCGTTGTTCTTGAGGATACAGAAGGCTCCAAATGGGCAGTTCGCTTCCTTTTACAATTCCAGCGGTTTCCACGACATATTGAACTGGTGGTAGAGAGAGAGGCAGCGTTGCGTTTGGCTATCGAGAAGAATGCTATCACAGGGATCCCAAAACTAAAGACATTCAGCGCTACTTTTAACAACTTGGCACGTTTCCCCTATATAGCTGTTGAGTGGGCTGAAGGGACCCAGCTGCAGTGGACTGAAACTTGGCCTAATGTTCCGCAACGTGATAAAGTCATTCAATCTGTTGCTCACACGGTGATAAGTCTACTTAAGATACAAAATAAAAGTTCGAACTTTTTTCTGTCTCTTAAAGTTCGCTAACCGTTAATATAGAGCATACGGCAACCAGCTATATTACGACTCTCATTAATCGCAAGATAAAGCGAGCACAGGAAGGCAAACTGCCTGGGGCGACAGAGAAGGAATGCCTAGATCAACAGAATTTAATTTCTGAATATCTGAATATCTCATACCAGATCTTGATCAATCCCCTTGTGTTCTCGTTCATGGAGATTTATCAACTGAAAATATTATTATCGACCTGGACTTTAACGTTAAGGCGTATGTGCTCTTTCCTATACTTAGCATTCTTATTTACACTCTATAGGATTATCGACCTTGGCTTTGCGGAGATGATACCACTGCAGTTTGCAGCGTGTTTTCCCAACTTTTTAACACATGACTTTCAGTCACTGCACGATCAGGCCGAGGTTGAGCATGGGAACACGCATGGACCTTTAGTATGGAGGCCAAAAAATACACCAATGATGCGACGGGACCGTGCTTTCTATTTGCAATGTGTTAAAGAGTTATCTGAAGGGGACCCGATGCTCGAAGAGTACTACCGGTTGCTAGCTGATAAGGATGAGATACGAAGATACTGGTGGCTTATGGCAGCTACAAAACTGAAAGTTCACCGGGCTATGGCTGCATGCAACTGGCTGCGTCCATAACCGCCTACTCTATGATAGCCACAAACTAGAGTGGGGAACTATCCCGTCAGGGTACTAGGGGAATCCAGTTGAAAATCAACTTCATTTCTAAATCTTAGACGGGGCTCCACGGGTATTGCCCTGTGGAGTTACATTTACTCGTACGCTACCCCGGGTCCACCAACCTTCTCCCAGCTTGTGGCCTTTGATTCCTCCGGTGCTAGCCTGACCGGCTATCCGGCTTGATTACATGCACAATCAATCGAAAGGGGAATGAAGTCCGAAATAATAAGGGGAAGACGCTGGCAAAAATATCCAACAGATGATGACAAATATTCCGTGCACGTTTATGAGTCACAGCCTCGAATGCACAACCTTGCTTCGGGTTTGTTCGCTGCATCCGAACATTCTCACACCCCAGGGTATTGGCTATTTGGTGGTTAACCAACCTGTTTTGAACCTCTATAGATTACTTTGTTCTTGGCATCCCTGGCCTTATAATAGAATAGGTCGCAGTAAATCATAGAACTGGGACAAAGACCGTACAATATCTATCAAGCGAACAATAAGTTGCAGAATTCTATCTTTCAATATGGTTATTCATATCCAGCCGTACGACTCTTCTCGGTTTAACTCCTTGCCATCTCTCTATGACGCCGGAAGCGTCTTTGATACGATTAACGGGAACAAGTTTATAGAAGAGGTTATGAAACCTCTCTTTAAAACCTACGGAGTTGAGCGTTCTCTTGGTTTGGCTCTTATGCACTCGCACTTCCAGCTCGAAGAAAATGAGAAATTGGTGGACATTCGTGGTACTTCAGTTCCATGGACTGGGTCAGGGGAAAACCCAACAGTATGGCATCTAGCTGATAATGTGCTCCGGCCTTACGAATTCTCCCTTAGCTCTCATATTAAAACACCAGACCGGAAGTCCAGCAATTACCAAGGGTTTTTGATGGCTTTTCGTGATGCACTGGGGAGTGTTGGGGCACAAAGAATTTTGGGTTTTGCAAATACCCCGGTGATGACTTCGAGGGCCGCGTTGAAACGACCATCGGCAGAGCAAATGTGAATCTAAAGCTCTCTGAAATAAGTTTAACCAAGATCGTTTGTAGCCCTTTTTGCTAAGAACTTTGACTAGGCCGACATGTTCCTTCCAGGTCGACGCCGCGATGCAGCCTGGCTTTTTTTCCGATGAACTCAGGGACGACTCCTGCAAGTGTACCTGCGTCGTGATAAAATATGAGGATGGCTATGACGGCCATGAGCACAACGGAATACATCTGGTGGTAGGATGATTATTGTCATTTAAATAGACTCATCGTCCGAAAGTTAATAGACGTTTAGTTGTAGTTAATTAAGTTAACTTTGTAGTTAAATAACGGATGATGTCACTACGAGAGCCGCACTTGAACCCCCTCGGAGTAAGTAGTTATTGTGATGTTGGTCTTCGAGAATGCAACTAGTTAGAGACGGCCACATCAAGCGTCATAACGACAGTAAATTTTCAGTCTCCCACAGAGTGAACATCGAACTTTCACCTGGCTGAACATGGCTCTAAACACTATAGCTGTCAACAACCTTTCGCCTGGTCATCTAGATGCCTTTTCCCAGGCTTTCCATTGCATTTTTTCCACGGATCATGCTGTAGATGTTCTCGCACAAATTGTGAACGGGAAACCAGCTAGAGATATCGATTTTGACATTAAGACGAACTACAAACTTCCCCATCCAATTAGACTCTCCGGCCCATCTGAAGAGGATTTTGAAATAGCAAAACGCTTTCAAAAGAGTTTAAGAGCAGATGTGCTTGAGATAAAGTCCTCTGAAAGTCTACAAATATAACTACTCTTGAAGCTGGCCACAATTTTCTAATATACTGCATGTTCAAGCTCGTTCAAGCATATCAAAATACGACCTTGGGTTCGAGAGAGTTCAAGATTCGCTTACTAGAGATGACCGCTGTCGCAGTTCACAGTGTTGCGGGAGCCTTCTTCTCCAGCCGTGGGCACGATCCTCCTCCGCCCAAGGCAGATGATAGTCAGCCGCCCAGTCCTCCAACTTATCTATACCATCAGGAATATCTAGATTATGAACGGAATCCCCTTGGCGTAGCCGACACTGTTGGATACTGGACAGAGCTTAAGGTGTTCGGAGGGATAGTTATATTTGATCGAGGGGAATCTGAGCAGGAAGTTCGTTTTGATATTGCCAACTCTTAATATGCTCGGGACAGTAGATAACTAATTAATGAACTTTTAGGCTATTGATCCATACATCCATCCAAAGTACCCTTACATGATCTATAAACTCTCAAAGAAACAGCTCGACTCTTTCATCGATTTTAGAACCTCCAAGGATCACTCGGACCCTATTCCCATCCCTTTTGTTACCGAAAAGTATGCACCTCGAGTAGACCCAGAGCATGCTATAGAGAAGCACGTCTTCCGTGACAAAAATGAGCGCAGACCACTCTGGATGCGCCGCACTGGCCGTACAGTTCATAGGCGGTACATGCGAGACGACTTCCCGGAATTGGTCCATCAAGTGCAAAAGATACTGAAGGAGAAGGGTATGTCGTGAAATGCGCATATACGGCCCTATATCCAAGCGACTGGAGTCAGAGGGACCTCCTTAGACTTTATATAGCTGAACTCCTTTAGCCCTCTCCAAGATGATATACTCTGCGCCAATTGGATTTTGAGAGTCTGAGCTACGCGCCGAGCTTTCGGGGTATCCGTCGGCCCGCCACACCCCGGATATAAAAATAGCTTCTTGAGGTCGCCAACGTTGACGTCACAACGAGTTCGTGAGCAGTGTCTATAACACCGTCCGAGCAACACCATCTAAACAACACAATAACTCGTATTTTTATTCTCCGGCCCATCATGTATCCTCTAGGCGGGACAGGTGAGGCAACACAGCAATGTGTTGCCTCTTCAAAACTATTGATTGGGCTCCCGGAAGGAACACCATGGGTTAAATATACCAATATAAACAAGCTAAAGAATATAGTAGATACCCAGTGTCGAGACTGTTGTGCAGATAGTTCCAAGAGCCCCTTTTTAATAGTGACCTGCGTATCTGATACCGATACCTTCTTAAGAGACTTCGAAAAAGCCTATCCTGATAAAGGTCCCCATATAACTTGCAATCTCCAAGAAAATCCGGTTATTATTCTCGAAGTCATGACACATCTGGCACACGAATTAGCGACTAGTCGTCTACAGCATTTTACCGAAGCCAGGATTACTCAGATGAGCCTTGAAGACCAACTTATTGCTATCAATCAGCCCGAAATAACGAGCTCTAATGGTGCCTGGAAGAAGATCCCTGACCTTGGATATGCCCTAATAGGCGACCTGGAATGGCCTGTACTTGTAATAGAGACAGGCCTATCGGAAACTAAGGAAAAATTAGCGATTGATGCCCAGGGATGGTTAGAGGCGCATGGGTCTAGGACCCAAGTTGTTATTACAATAAAAATCGACCAACGTTCTCCATATCTTACTATACAGCGCTGGGAGCACTATCCTCTATCTCGACCTATAACCCGTTCTTTCCAACTAAGTGGATCAATACAGACGGTTGAGATAATTCATAAAAACGGCATTACAAGAGCTACAGGGGAGCTCACTATCCCCTTTTACAAAGTATTCCGCCGCGCGAAACACGGCCGTGGAGAGACCGATATCATTATTGAGAGGCATGAACTAATAAAAGTGGCCGAGTTTGTGTGGAGAGCTCAGGGTTTTATGTGATATGCCTGGAGTCTGTAGCGGAAGAGTGAATATAAAAAATCAATTATAAGATGTTACGGTACAAAGCTGGATGCGTTCAGTCTAGAAGCTCGGATTTGACGTTGTCTTCTCCATTTAACTGTTTGCTCGAACCCACATCAAATATGGGAATACACGAATAGAGGCATCTAATAATCCAGCTAAGGGGAATGTAGGTGTCCCCAAAAATGGCTCTCCCCTATGTAGTCAGAGCTGGACCTCTCCAGTTGTTTATTCCATGTATAGGAGAAGGCATTAAGACCTCAAGACTATTCTCCGACCTGTAGACAAGTATCTGATGTCTGTTTACGTATAGGATGTACTGAGAGGAGGAATGTTGATGGGTGAATATGGCTTGACATGATCTCCCATGGGGATTTCATAGTTCTAGCCAAGGCCTCTAGGGAACATATCCGCTTCCCTTGACCATACAGAGGGTGCGCTCTCCCTCTCTCTTTTTTTCAGCAAGCCCATAGAAACCCATGAACATATCAATGTATTCTCTAGTTTAACCGCAGCTGACAGTTTTTATATCACGAGATAGGCTTTAGGCATACGAATACGGCAGTGACGTCATAGCCGTTGATTGTAATATAGAAGAATAGAGAGAGACAACATTGCTTTTACAAACATCTCACTTGGGATACCCGCACACGACAGGTTGCTATTATAGCTCGTTATGGCTTATACGGACCAGATAACCGATACAACACATTCGAATGTTGCATCCTCGGAATTGCTGATTGGGCTCCCGGAAGGAACACCCCAGGCTAAATACTCCAATATGGAAAGGCTGAAACGGGCTGCTGATGCTCAAGCCCTTCGGTGCGCTGAAGATGATTTACAGAGCCCGTTTGTGATAGTAACATGTGTGCCGTACACTATCCTCGAAGAATTTGACAACTTTTATCCTAGAAAAGGCCCCAGAATCAAAGCAAATCTACGAGAAAGAGTCCTCGTTCTTGAAGTAATGGTGCAAAGACCCCATGAGACTGCTACTGCACAGCTCACACGGTATATCCAGTCCGGCATTGATAGCACGGGCCTTGGGAATGAGTTGATTGCCGGCGGTGGACCTCGAGAAGTCAACATAAACATGACCTGGGTTAAAGAGCCAGACAGTAGTTTTTGGCTCAATGATGACATAGGGTGGCCTGTATTGGCCATTGAGACGGGCCTGTCCGAGGACGAACGCAAACTGGCCGTAGATGCCCAGGGATGGCTTGAGGCTGAAGGATCACAGACGCAAGCCGTGATAACGGTCAAAATAGACCGCTACACTCCACATATAACTTTTCGGCGGTGGGAGCATTACTATCCGCCTTCTCGCCCTGTAACCCGACGCTACCAACCGATTGGATCCTGCATGGAGACTGTCGATGTGATACATTGCCATGGAGCTACCAGGGCTACAGGCAACCTCACTATTCCTGTCGCGAAACTGTTGCGTCGAGAGGCGTGTTGGCATGATGGAACCGACTTTGTAGTCGAGAGGGCCTCACTGATCAAGATTGCAGAACTCACTTGGCGGAGTCAAGGCTTTATGTAAACGAAGGTACATAGCGTCGTATCAGAAGGCGGTTCCTTACCTGCATGTGTGCTGATGTGGGTGTTGCAAGATTCTTTACTGGCAGGCGTAAAAAAGACCATATACCTACGAAGCACTCATAGATTGTATAAGCACGCTTTTAATACATTAGTCAAAGCCTCTAGCTTTCGCCTTCCCTTTAAAGCTTTGCAGTTACATCCTAGTCGTGTCAACAAACATTAGATAAAGAGGAGGGGCAGTTGCTATAATCAGGGCTGCAGCACTCATTGTTTAGAATGAATTTCAGGGGAACGGGAGAACTGCAACGCCTCTCTCGCCGTTTTTGCCGCGGGCCCGGATACCAAAGATGACATTATCCTTACTGAGATCTATTGTGGCCGCCTGTACCATCCCTACATCCATCACATTGGTCCAGAAAGGCGCAATTGTGCTGCGCCAGACAATCTCATAGCCACCAACGCCTGCATTACCACCCGCCGGAGGATCCCAGGTGAACTTACTATCATTAGAAAGGTCGCTGGTGTCAACACGAACATTGCGCGGCATACCGGGGGACATTGCCAGATTCCAGAGTGCTGCCGCATTGACTTTGCCAACCCTGGAAATAAAGTCAAAGTCACAGAATTCAGGCAAATCTCCATACTGTATATCCTTGCCCGTTTTAGGATCTTTCTCAATACGAATATTCTGATGCTGGTGTGCATAATTCTCGTTTGGCTCTGTGAAGCGTGCTGCTGGGTATCCTGCCTCTAGGAATGGGCGGTGGTCACCACCACGTAGGTACCGATCAAGCCTATAGATAACCGAGACTTGCATGTCGGTATACTTGTTTTCGGCAGTTTCTTTGACGAAGCGTGCTAGTTGGCGGGCAGGCGTATCATTCTCACCGCCAATCATAAGACGCTTCTCTCTCATTGCTTGGTTTTCAACGTTAAGAGGAGGTACTCCCTGAGCAAAAAGTCGGATGACATGCGGTTCCTTCGTGCCGTCATCAGCAGTGGATGAACCGATGATATCATTTGTAAACATCCCTTCTACATTGGTAGAGCTATTGCGGTACGTCTGGGCGAGGAAGTTAGAGCCAAGAAGGCCCTGTTCTTCTCCCGCCACAGCGGCAAAAACTATCGTTGCCTTTGGCCGTGGGAGATTGCGCTGTGACATCACACGGGCAATCTCAAGTGAGACAGCAACTCCAGAAGCACTATAATGTATTGTTAGCTCTCTTACCCCGTCCCAATCAATAATATACATCTCCCATTTCTGCTGAACGTCCTCAGGTACATAGTACCAGAACAATATTGGCAGTTAGAGAAAGAAAGGGCGAAAACATACTCATCATTCGCACCAGGAGCATCAGTCTTATAATCAAGTGGATCACTAGCTCTTGAATCATAATGACCGGAAACAACGTAGACTCTTTCCGGGTCCTCACTTCCCTTGAGTGTGGCAACCACGTCGCTGATTCGGACGGGAAATAGCACACGGCTTCCATCTGGCTGCTGCTCATAGCCTATTACCTTGACGGTCAGTCTGCCATCACTTGCATCTGCATATCGCTGAAACTCAGATGCAATCCAATCCCTTGCGGCCCCAATGCCGTGTGTTGCATTAGTCTGAGTAGAAAGAGTGTGTCGAGTGCCAAAGGAGACCAATTTTCTAATAGTAGCCTCGATCCTTTTGGGTGAAATTTGGGACAAAATTCTCTTGAGATCTTTCGAGGGCTCCTGAGGTGTATTAGGGCGTCCTAGCTTGGCTTGAGGCCACGAAGCTGCGGGGCAGGAGAATAAGGATTCGTGAAATGGATTTGACAATCCGTAACCACAGACTGAGCCTTCTAACGGCTGTGCTAGCACGAATGCATCGAAAGAGACTAGCAAGGACAATAGGCCCGCAAGCAGGCTGTTGATTGAGATGTGCATGCCGGCAGATTGTTAGTACCAGCAGAACGTAGCCGTGGAAATGTACAAAGAGAGGGGTGCAAGCAATTAAATGTCTTCATATTAAATTACTCTGGTCGTAACGTGGCGTATTCCTCCACCGCTGTAAACCGAAATCATTACCGAACTTCGAGATACCACCAGGCTATGGATCTTATATTAGCTACTTTCCTAACCTTCGACTGCACGTCTGTTCGATTCGGCCAATGTGATCCTAGGATACTTACCCCTGCAGCTGGCCGGGCCATAACCCTTCGCATTATAGCCATACCGAAGGTCGTGCCGGTAACCGAATTAGGCTGGTGAAATGTGCAGGAATACGAAAGATAAGACTCCTCGAGAAGTTGTCATTTTGTCAGGGGTTGAAGTTTTATTCTTTTGATAAGGAAAATCCGGGGTAAAAAAGTGGATTTGTCACATGACCACGGAGAAGGAATATTGTTTCACCGGAAGATGCTTACAAAGCATTTGGGATGCCCTCGAGTACTATGTAAGAAGGAGGATAAAGGAGTAAGGTAAAGAGGAATATATAATTAGCATGTTCTTAATACATATCTGACGAGGTACCGACAGCATAAAGGACTCCCTGTTAGCCAGAAAACAGCCTCTGGAAACAAAAAGAAGGTTAGAGAATGACAGATGAACCACAAGTACTGTTCCCTCCAGAGGAAAGCAGGCAGGAAGAAAGGAAGATAGTATCGACCAATTCATTAAAAGGATGTTATGCCGTAAATAAACAGAGGCAGCTGGAGCCGGGGTCTAAAGAAGATGCAAAGGCTTCTATATATGCGATGCTGTGTTCTCATGAATAAATAGATTGTCATATGTACGTTGCGACGTTATGCTAAGAATGCTTAGCAGGTTAAGTCACTTATTGATGACTCAAGGTAGTTTCTTGATGTGGCCGTTTGAAAAGTCGGAATCGGAGAAGTCTGATGATAGGCGGGTTATCCGATCAAGGTTCGGCATTGACAAGCCATTTCCGAAGAAATATAGCACCACGAGCCAGGTGACGACGAAGTTGGCGATGTGGTGCAGTAAGTAAGCATATGTAACGCCGTATATCGCAGCATAAACGGCGAGGAAGAAGAATAGGGCGGAAGTAATATATTTGAAGCTGTAGATGCGGTTAGATAACTCGTCTAGCAATAAAGCTTAAAAGTGTTAGCGAGACGCTTCACTTACTTAGATGTGACCCGGGGTATCATGGCTCCGGTAGTTAAGGTTTCGACAAGAAGTATGAAAGGCATTATTGATAACACATTATGATGAGAGGAAAAGGGCGTGAACCAGTGTACTGCAAGGTTGTGGCCCCAGACTATGAGAACAGGGATATTGATCGGAAGAATCCAAAGCATAAGGACAAGAATCGAATGCGCAAAATTGTTAAGGTTGGCGTGAGTGCCCGATCGCTTCAGTTCGGTCAATAAAATTATATCGAATAACGAGATGGAATGGAGAAAGCTGTTACTCACTGTTTCACGAGCATGGGAAGATGCTTGTACACATGTGATCAATTGGACAATGCAGGCCACCACATATGCAAACTGGTACGGGATAAATGTGGCTACTAGGAAAAGTAGGATAACTGCATTCACTATCCGATGCCTTGCGGATAGATTCCACAGTAAGGGTGCGGTCCTATAAAGGGCTCTGTAAGTATATACCTTCATTTAGCAGATAGCAGTCAACTCACCTTCCGTTCTCATGTTTAATATACCCCTGCCTAGCGGCCACCATTGAGCGAAGAAGTTCGAGTAGATAGACAATAGTCATTGCCGCATAATTAACGACGACACATGCACCCACACTAATGATTCCGAAAAGGGGAACCAGGAACCAGAAGAATGTGTCCTGGGAGCCTAACAAGAGATCATTTTTTCCATAGTCTATTGGTGCTTCCGTTGCATTCGACTGCCATCTAGATTGCACACCTTGAGTCACCACGGACTTGGAAGTTGCCAAAGTGGTAGCCAAAAGTGAGAAACCAAGGAAAGTAAGAGGTAATGAAGAACGAACACAGAGTTCTAAACTTTCGGAGAAATTGATGAAAACGCCTGCGCCAGAGTCAGAAGAAAGTATGTTAGATGATAGTCAGAGTATCTTACCTGTTTGGTCATAGACCCTGAACTGCTTGCGAAGAACCATCGCTACAATCACGAGAGGGAATGCGGCAAACACAGTTCGGTATCTCATAGCAAGCCTACCCAAGCTTCCAAGCACATCAACGTGTAGCGACAGTTGGAGAGGTGAATTACAGCTCTGATCTGACCAAAGCTGGAATGATATACCGCTTCCGGCCGGATTATCCCTAATATGCGGGGGCATGTATGGCGCAACCCCATGAAGATTGACATCAATCGCCTTCACATTGACGAAAAACTTCGATTCGTATGGGTCAGATATATACTGGCGAACTATTGGTGCAAAAAGCTCTGAATCAGCTTTACAACCTTGTCTCTTGAGTTTGAGTTTATAGGCCAGTAAACTAGACTGTAGAGCCGGAACTTTTATATCAGTCATCAATGGTCTGTCAGCTGGAAGCAGAATCGTTAAACCAGCGCTCAGCAGCCGGCCAAGGCTGACTCTAGTAGGAATGACCGAATCTGAGCTGTCAGAGAACTCCGCAACCAGGAAACCAGGGGTGGATTTCTCATGTTTGTCGACAATAGCCACAAACTGGTATTCCGTCAGATCCTCCAGGCCATATTGGAAGTACGAAAAGGGAGGGGTGTCGTCGAAGGCGGATTTTGAAGACCGAGTTGATGCTGGGATATGTATCACGTCCTCGTAGCTACTTTTGCAGACCAATCGAGGTGAGGCAGCATTTCCTCCAGATAGATCAAGGTTCAAAGAGAGCAAAGTTGCAGATTGCCCAGCACGAGAGGGAGGGTCGCTACAAAACAAAATTTCAAGCTTCCCAGCTCCTGAAGCTTCCACATTTTGATCTGTTAAGAGAGTAAATTTCTTCCCAGGAACGCCTCCTCTTGGCGGAACGGGGATGAGGTAAGCCTTAGGGCCGTCATGGTGGCCGAATCCGCGCAAGACCAAGTGTTCTCCTTGTTTTAGCATTGAATTGGTGTTTTCATCGAGAGTCAAGAGCGTGGTTGGCTCTAAAGAAGGGTAAGTATATAAATAGTAAATATTTATGCAGGTTGGTAATACCTTTATTTGGTAGGCGTTTTTCCGCGTTTGGCTCGATTCCAGTGAGAAACCATTTCCTAAAGGCACTCATGCGCTCAGCGCGTTGCTTTGTTTGAGTGGCACGTCTAACATCGACCACATCAAAAATAGACCGAACAACAGCCTTCCTCAACGAATCGCACCATGCAATGGAAAGATGATCCACTCCGGTCCAAACATTGGGCATTGTGCTAGTGAAAACCGTGAAACCATGGGTATCAGGGACCAAGGAGGATAGACTTGTATAATCTGATGGCACAATAGTATCCCCACCGCCGCCGGCAATGGAAATAAGAGTCACATGCCAAAGCGGGTTATTGTTCGCCCATCTCTCTGAATAGGCCTCACGCCAGTATGAATTGATCTGCTTATAGGTGCTCATTAGGTCAGAATCGAAAGATACGGGTGGTCTGGCATGCGGTGTAGACATTGTGATAATAGAGTTCACAGAATTCGCCTGGTAGTTGGCCATGGTGAGGACTGTCCTAGCTACGATTCCGCCCATGGAATGTCCTATCAGTATGACTGATACAGGGTCCGGTAGGTCAGTGTCCCTTCTGACTCGGTGCGGATCGTGGTAAAGCGATAATATGTATGAAAGGGCATCGTTTATATATTCAGCTTGATCGAGTATAGTTTGGCCATGGAACGCAGCCATATCTTCGTTGAAGTCTGCCATAAAAAAATCCAAGCTCCGGGTACCGGCCTTAATCCGGTCTTGATCGTGTTGCAGCACATTATGAAAGTATAAGGAGGCTTCAGAAGCAAGCGAACGTCCTTGTCGGTAGCTCCCTGCGTTTCCCGGAAGGAAGAGGACGGGAACTCCCTTGAGCTAGATAGATCGATATCCAAATCAGCTATACAATCCATGGGTTTTGCAGTGCACGGAAAGGGTCTATTAACAAAACATACGCCAATATCTTCCTCACTGTAGTCATCTACACCTCGCTCCCGATATAAATAGAGATTGTACTTGCTCGCAAATCGGGTGTGTTCCGTGTCAAATCCACCCAGTTTAATATAAGTCGGCAGCATGCTTGGTGTCTTACACCCCTGAGGATCAATCTGGAGCGTCAAGTATGATTGCACAATGCCAAATACCAGAAGAAGACCAAGGATTGTGACTATTATGGTAGACACAGGGCATCCCCAAGCGGTTCGCGAACGAGGCCGCCGCAGCCGTTGTGACTCTACCGAGTTCTCCATATGTCGTGATTCCTTATATCCTCGTCCCAGCAAGCAGTTACCAAGCAAACACTGTTGTAAAGCCGAAGCTAGTTTTATCACGTCGCACGGGAGGCCGTTCAGCAGTTCTTTCGAGCTCTCCCCCTAGTCGATTCGGTTTCCTCTCCAGCTATGCTAGCTCCTGTATGATTGCGTGAAATATTTTTTCGTTATCAATTCCATTGGCATTTAAGCCGCTAATAGCAGCTATTAGAGGATCATTGTCGCCTCGGCCTGGGAGTCTTCGGGAGTAGCGGTTCGGGGGCGGCGGAGGCTCAGTGTTGTTATGCTGTATTTTTCCCGCTGGCAGAAATTTCGCCGTTCAGCACAGGAACGACGAGAGGCTGAGTACGCGCACGACGACCCTCCAGCACGAGTCTCTGCCTTCTCGTGAAATGCTCGAGGGACTCGAAAGTGGGAAATACAAGGGGGAGTTTTTTTTTCCCTTTTTGGCAAAGAAAATTAACAAGGAGCAATTTTGATATGCTGAGTCAGCAGGATAGCTTCTGACAGTAGAAGACGACGACGACGACGACGAGATGAAGCAGAGAACAGGATATGATGATGATGATGAAGGTGAAAAAGATGAAACGATATTCATCTAATGAGCCGAGTCCAGTTCCATCATACGTTCACGACCGTTGGCTCCAGCGATGATCCTACCGTCATTTAATCTACGACCACAAGAGAGATCGGAAGAATGTCATGGCAGACGGAGTTTTATGTCAGTATTGATATATTTAGAGCTGTCTTAGTCTCAACAGCCTTTGCTCAAGGATCTTCGATCTTATATACTTCCGGCATCCAGGATGAAGGGTTCTACACGAAGGTTCGGAAGGCCCAGCGTTTCCGGTGCCTGGCCAGTGATTGTCAGGAGGCGGCAGAGATAACAAGACAAAGAGACTTATATGCATCATGAACCAGTTGAAAGAAGTCTCTCATGCTCACGGAGTAACTAGACTGCAATGGCGACATATCATTCATCCTCCTCCACGATATTACTATGTGGATACGAACGCGCGTGGCAGTGGGCTTAGGATTCGCAGCTCATCCCTGAAATCATACTTAAAATGAAGACAAAAACTTTGTGCCGCAGTGGCAAGGGCAATAATTGGCAGTGAACAAGAAGATATACCAAAGCAACAGGATTATTGCTCAGATGCTTTTATTTACCACCACTGGTATCACTACCATGTACTCTGTACTGGTGCTGTAAACCATCAACTACTTGGTAGCCTTCAGGTAGACTTCCTTTGTTTCAGTGCTTAAACGGACTTGAAACAAGGCTTAAGTAGCCACTTGAGCGATAGCAACAGAGCGGCAATTTGGCGTAAAACAGCCAGTTGGCGAAAGGGTGGAGAACAGGTCAACGAGCGAACGAAGACGCGCAAACGCGAGCCACAAAATTGGTGAAATATGAGGTTTTGTTATGAGATTCCACCTCGATTAGGGAGGTTTGCTTCATGATGAACAGAGATGAGGAAATTATCGACACTTTCACGATATAATCCTGAGCTCGTCTCTACAACAAAAAACACACAACGACGATGCATTACCGTACGTTTCATTTTTGCTCTCGCTTCAATGGAGGAGAAGAGAATAATCACAAGATGAGCATGCCGCGTGTATATTTGGCTTCATACCGCAAGAGCCGTCTTAAAAATCTAGTTTATTTGTTATGCGCTGCTGAGGTTCTTTTCGTCTTCGTTTTCTCACTTTGGTTTAGATCTCCTTCTGCCCACTCGGGCCACCGTACATGCAACATTCAATTGCTCAGAGTCATCCAAGGAAAAATGCCCATCCGGAGGGGAAGCTGAGCTTCTTCCAAAACTGAGACGGATACTACTCGCTCGATATGGGCTTGGGGATATGACAAGGAATAGTATGGAGTGAGAAGCAGAATTTCAACAGCAGGGATGACCATTGCAAATATAGGTTCATAGCATGTTGAGGGTATGCTCAATATCCAGACGGACACCAACAATCTACCATCAAGCATAGATAACTCATACTTAGGTAGGGCATATTCCTCGTCACAAAAATATCGGCAAGAATACCGATCTGTTGCCGTTGCACATAAGTTCCAATTCATCCAACACCACCATTATTATCTTTAATCCCCAGTGCCGAAACAGAACTCCGTCGAAGTCGTGCGTGATTTCTCGGATCTCCCTAAAAGTATGAAAGCCCTTCACGTAAACGAAACACTCGCCAAGCGGATTGCTAAGAATAGCGTCAAATTGTTTAGAGAGAGCTATATTACCAAAGCTGCTGAGGCGTGTTATTGACGAGAGCTCTGGGCTAATTGGGCAAATGTATTCGATATTGTCAAGACTGATATCTTTGCAAGTAGAGGCTTGAGATTTGAGTATTTCCCCTTCAAAAGAGCCAGAAGATGATAGCGTTTTCTCGTGTTGATGTTAACGATTATGAAGATATATATTAGCTTCAAACGCCAGGCCTTTGCCTTCTTTATATACCCTCATTTCAAGGTTAGAGGTATTCGGGGTCTCTGGGCATTACGAGTTCTAGCCCCATTTACACTTAGAGCGTAAAATGCAGATCATATTGTAGTTACACTAGAATTATACACGCCCCAGAGTCGTGGAAGTGGCAAGACAAGTATTGAGCTCCTAGTCAAGTGCTCGGGTTCTTCAGTTTTGAACTTATTTTTATATTCAGGCAAGAGGCCCAACCTTCACCTCCTGGTTGGCCATCAGGTTATTCCATCTATCAGCCTTTTTACGTCCACGGTTTATACGCCGCTTAGACGATTGTAAATCCTTGAACTGTCCTTTGGCCCCATGCTTGATTTTGGTGATCATATCAGCGGCTTCGCCCTTCGATATGTTGCTGGGCATTTCTTTCCCAAGCTGCTTCTTTAGATATCCTATCTGTCCAAGACTGGCGCGCTTCTTTCTCCAAGGTTGCCATGAGGCAATGAAAGTCGGGCCTCCGAATACGCGGATAGCAAGGGTATCCGCAGCATGAACTGCTTGGACAAGCTCAACAGATGAAGCCACCTCTCTAGGGCGGCTGTAAGGGCTTTTCGAATTATCCGCAGGACTTAGACTGGTGACATGATGAACAGAATATAGGCCAGAGTCATCCTTGGAGATGGTCAGTCTCCCGGCAGGGGCGCTGAGTATGTAGCGGTCCGGGCTAACCTGTACCCATGCATTATCGCTGATTGAACGGATATGTTCTTCACCGGAGGTATCCTGCACTAGATCATGGACAGACTCGTAATCCGTAAAATCAACCACAACATCATCTTGATTCGGTGAACGAGATGCTTTCGTCTCTTCTTCTCGTACTAATTTACCATCAGAAGAGGCTATTCTCTCCTTTAACTCCCTAACTGGAGTCTCATCCAAGCCTTCATCAGGATGTAGCCCAAATAGAGTGGGCGTTGTTAGAACTCCTTGGTTCAAGGAGGCAACCATATCAATAATATGGCAATTACTTTTCCCCGGGTGCAACCGTAGGCCTCTCCCTATCATCTGAATCAGGAGGTTCTTAGACCTCGTAGGTCTCGCGAGCAAGACACAGTCGATATTCGGAATATCGGTGCCTTCTGTAAACAGGCCGCAATTAACCAGAACAGGAAACTCATAATTCCTAAAAGCTTCCAGCTCTTTCGCTCGAACATCTTTGGAAGACTGGCCAGTAATATACCTGGCATCAACCCCCATTCCGCGAAACTTCGCTGTTAGGCCTTTTACATGCTCAATATCCACACAAAAGACGAGGGTAGATTTTCGCTCCTTCGCCCTGGAATGCCATGCAGAAACAGTGATATCGTTAGCGGTCTCGGTATTAACAGCAAGAGAAAGCTGACGGGTTTTAAAATCCCCGTTTGGGCTGTCGCCCACTTGTGAGAGGTCGACGTGAGATTTTACGGTAGTAAAAAGAGCATCTGCAAGCCAATTCTCCTCGATCATATCGATGTAATCTTTGTGATATACAATACGATCAATAGCAGCACCTATCTTCACTCCATCAAAGCGCGAGAAGGTCGCGGAGACACCAACTAACGCTGGAGAGTTTGCGTTCCTCTCTCCCAAGCCAAAGTGAGCAAGCGCTTCACGATAGGTAGGTGCAACAATATGATGAGCCTCGTCAACTAGCACAAGTTTGAATCTTTTCGGGTTATATTTGTCTATCCGGCCTTTTGAAAGAAGGCTTCGTACGGATGCGATGGTTATATCTGCAGCACCAGTCGCATGGCTGTTTGCCATTTCAATTTCTATAGTCTTGTCCGGATACGCGCGTGTGCAGTGTCTCGCTGCTTGCTCAACAAGCTCCTTTCGATGAACTAGGATAAGAGACTGGTTTCTGTTTTCATCGGAGGACTGTACGCGGTCAATTAGCTGTGTAAAGATCACCTATTAAAACGTTGTATAATTAGTACCAATTAAAATATCCACAACAGATGAGATCCTACAGTTTTCCCACTACCTGTGGCCAAAGATATGCCGAGCCTTTTGTGGCCATTGTCCAAATAAGATAGGACAGACCGGATACATTCTTCTTGATAGTCCCTTAGGCGTATTTCAGGGTTTGGTATTGGAGCTCCATCAGACGTGAAAATGGATGATGTTGAAGAGAGGAGGCGGGCTCCAACCTGTGGGACGGAGTGCCCTTGGTAATGTAACCTCGTTAAGCTTAACCATCTCCGACAGTAAGATATCTTCCGCATCTTCCATGTTGCTTTGCCTGTTATTCCGTTTCTTCTTTGGAGTCGCGAATTTATGTAACTAACGGCAAACAAGGAAAACGGTGCAAACAATACAAACATAGCTAACTACCTTGTCGATAAGCAACGGAAAAAAAAAGCAGAGCTTGAAGGAAGACAAGTCGATGAACAGATTTATGTACAGCTGAAGCAGATAAAATACCCACCCTTTTACGGGCATCCATGATATGTGCTCCATACTATTGCCTGTTCTAAGCTGCCCAAGGTCTAATACCTGGAGTTGGAATTGAACCAAACATCTGGCAGAGATAGCTAGCATGTCAAGCAGCAGCTACGAGCCCCAGGATAATGCCCCTAATTCCCATAATGAAGTAGACAAGCCAAGGTCAGTTGTCTATGATTCTTCAGATGCTTGTCCCTCTTCGCATCAGCTACAGCATCTTACACTCGCATCTTCTCCCCAGCCCATACGACGGAAGAGGAAACGGGTGGAGAAATGGGCGTGGAACAAGAGAGAAAATCATCTACGGCGTGCGAATGCGCAGCCCATAGCATCTTACCAGGAACTTCTTGACGACACCATTGATACAATTACCAAGGAACCTAGTCATGGAGCAGCCATTCATGCTTCGCAGCTTGGCATAGTTACATGGAGTGCAGAGGAGAAGATCAATCTCTTTTCAGCGCTTGCAAGGAAGGGCAAAAGCGCGGTATCCGAGATAGCCTCTATTGTCGGTACTAAAAGCCGGATAGAAGTTCAACAATACCTCATGGAAATTCAGCAGGCGTTGCAGGAGCAGCAAATGACAGAGAAAAATGTTAGGGGGATAACTTTTTCGGACATACACGCAGCAGCCGAAATCAGTGAGGAATGCTGCCTTGCGTTGGAAAAGGTGGCCAATTCACTCTCTGTTCGAGAAGAGCAAGCACATAACATTTCGGGAAGACGAAAGTATAAAGATATGTGGCTTGTAGACAGTAATGCCGCAACGTATTTGGAAGAGAAGATCAATACCAAAGATATCAGCGATGTCGACCCAAATGCACACCATATGTTAGCTACAGCTCAATTGTTCAACATATCAAATTGGATCAACCTATCAAGAAACGTTTTTATGAATTTCGGAGGCCACCGTATAGAAGATAATTGGACCAGGATCTGTTTTCACGAGGAGACACCTGCAATGACTTGTGATAGTTTTACGGATTTCTACACGCTTGCGGTCAGCCTAACCCGGAGGCTGGTACAATCTTCTATATTCTTTGCTCTCTCCAGGCTTCGTGCAATGGATGAACGGGGCCTGGATCGAAATAGAGTTGTGCGAAAAGACGATGTGTATGCCGCGTTGGGTACGCTAAAAATACGACGCAACTCTCGTGAATTTTGGATTCATGCTGCACGGCGATGTTCATTAGACGTTCGCGAGTATGTGAGCAAGGGAAGTTTCAAGACGACGCTACTTTCCTATGACGAAGTAGAAAGACGGTTATCTGCTTCCCATCTAGAGTTACCCGAACCCCAGCAGACGGAAGAAGATCACGAAGATCACGAGGAACAGGAATCCCCCGAGCAAGACGCCGATATGCCATCAGAAGCCAACCCGGAGCTATACCTTGCAGGAGACTCCTCATCTTCTTTCGAAGACTCCCAGACCGACGTGTCAATGGAAGACACATTGTTTCCTGAATCAGAAGAAGAATTCTTATCTGATGAAGAAGAAAGATATGCCGTAACTATTGATAGAGAAGCCAGCCAAGAAGAAGAAAAGCGACTATGGAAGATATTGAATCAGACTCCCAACTCTGAAGCTCCACCTAACGTTGATATAAAAATGGAAAGCGATGGCGAAGGGGTGTCCACAGCTCCCGGGTTAAGAAGTAAACCAGCAGCAAAAAGGAAGACGATCCAGGAACTTCAAGATTGGAGGAACCAGATTTTACCCATGGCCGAATGGGAGCTATTTGGGCCAAAGACGTTTGCCATTGACGAGGAGATATATGGGAACCACACAAAACGGCGGAAAAAAAGTGATGATGGATTGGAATAGAAGACCTATTTGAGAACATGCATATGATCGATAGATTATAGACGTTTTTATACACTGATGGGCGCATGGTACCTGGGAATGGAGTTGTATCGGCCAATGTACATGGAGAATACTACTAATATTAAACAAATAAAGCAGTCGACATAGGAGATAAAATACCAAGGTCCATATTTTAACACTCTCCAGCCGGGGCTGCTTTATATAGATTTGAGAATAAACATGCACCCTGAGAGAGAATTGATAAAAGATCGAACGGCGTAAAGACACGACTATTGGAAGTATCAGTGTAAGGCACATATAAGGACAACTCCAACATCAAACGCCCCATACTACAGTTGTCCCAACGGAAAAGATAAGAAAAAGAAGGATCCTTGAATCTCCCGCCCAAAAAAGTATTCCTCTTGTCATTCACAGACGGAGAGGAAGCCAGCAGATCAAAATCATACACGTCAACTGAAAGCTATTATCCCCCTTCTAAAGTGATTCCTTCGTCACCATCTCATACCTCATATGACTTGTACTCTGCGCCGCCACTGGCACTGTATGGCTGAACAGCGTTGACGCTGTGGTCTACACTGGTCTGCTGGAAAGAATAGTTCTCGTCTAGCCCAATTGTGTGCGCCTGAGCAGCCACTGCGGCGCCAGCTTCATTTCCTTCTAGGCTGGCGGCCTTGAAAGCTTCTTCAACTTCCTTAATTCTCCTCTTGAGACCGAGACGGTCGAGGAATAGCTGTTGTCTAGCTTGTTCAAGGTCTCGGCGCTCAGCTTCAACGATAGCTTCTAGCTCCGAGAATTGTGCTAGTTTCAATTCGAGTTTCTGTAGCGTGATGTTGACAGCGGCGCCGACGAGGCGTGTCATCTCTCGCTCCTCATGCGATGCGAGGGCTCCGGCGCGGGCGGCAGATGTTGCAAGGGCGATGGATGCAAGGGAGGCCTGAGAAGTCTTCTCCTGGTTTGAAGATGAGACAGCAGCTACCTCCTCGCCCTCGTTCGTGGTATCTATTTCCATGGAGTCTTCGGCCTTTAAGGACTCTGCTTCTTTTCCTTTGTCTGCAGACTTATCGCTGTCTTTCTCCTTGGCCGCGGTAGCTGTTCGCTTGTCAAGCTGCTTTTGTAGTTCACGGCGCATTTCTTCGACAGATCGGCCAGCAGCTGCGGCAGTGATGGTGGGCTCAGCCATTTGTGCCAAGTAACTAACAACTGACAAGACAGGATTCTCTAGTTGGCCTACTGGTTCCCTTCCACCTGCAGAGCCCAACATAGAAGTAACCTCGACAGGATCTTCTAGATATTTATCCTCAATCTCTAGCTGAAGGAATTTCATCACACATTCTTCAGGCGTTCGCGAACCGACATGTCGTGAAATCTGCTGCCAGTTGTCATCGAAATTCTCGAGAGCCTCGAGGAGCAGGAGAAGTTCCGAGTTTGACCACGGTTTCTCACGATCTTGTATGGTGGTATAGTGTGTGTCTTCTAGCTTGACAAAATCGGAAGCCTGGTGAGAGGAGGGCATTCTCCCTTGGAGATAGCAGTTTGGGCACAAATCATATTTGAGCTCTGAGGGGTTCGCGGTGGTTGAAACAGGTGCCGATTTCGAATAGTGGAAGCGGATTCGTGTGCAATCAATACCACAAGCATAGCAGTTCAACGACTTTTTACCCTCTTTTGCGGATGCTTCCATAGCCTTTGTACTAGACTCCGCGGGGGTTCCGTTGGTAGTTGCATCTTCGCCATTCGTCTCCTTGTCCTTGTTCTCAGAAGGGGTAATCTCCTTTCCCTTTTCGTCATAAATATTGCGTCGAATTTCAAGGTTGAGATCTGATTTTGACAATGGGGTTGCCGCGGCCGCTCTGTCCGTAGATGGGTGAGGTTTACCAGGCGTAACCATGGTATTGGGACCAGGCTGGAATGGTTGTAATCCTCGAGGGGTATCTGCAGTAATTCTAAAGTGACCAGTAAATGGAGGACCAATATTGGAAGGACGCGATTGGGGGTCGACCTGAGATCGAAGATGATATTAGTCACTATGTCTTTTTTATTCTTTAGTAGCATTCTTCAAACACATACCTGGTAGTTAATCAAGCCCCAGTGCTCTAGAAAGGCATGAGTTCGCATGATTGCGCAAACATCTCCCGCAAGATTCCTCCTGCAAGCTGTAACTGTAAGGTATTCTACCGGGTTCACGCGATAAGTGTTGATCATGAAGTCACGATAATCTTTGTAAACTGCTGGAGTTTTACTGCGGTTCCGGCTATTGAAGAATTCTGGAAGGGCTTTCTTCTCAACGGGGTGGATGGTGTTCATATCAAACCAGCTGGTATAGCTAGGTAGAATAATTGCATGGGTTTGCGCAATCAGGTTTGAGCGCGCCGTGGCCTCTGTAGCAGCCTTGCTCTGGTCAGATGGGCCTTCTGCCGCGCCATCAGTCTGATTCTGCAGGGTGGAGGTATCTGCATCATCTCCGGTCTCGTTATCACCCTTAGAATCATGTGTGCCACCCATTTCTTCATCTTCCATATCATCATTCTGTCCTTTTGGTGAAGGCGGGGCATCTAATGGATTGTCCGATGGGTTCGGGTTTGGAGTAGCTTTTTCAGACGAAACACCACCAGACTGAGAGCCTATATAAAAGTAACCGCATGGTTAATATCAAGTTAAATTTGGAAATGGCCTTAAAGGCAGAGGCCGCATTCATATCTTTGAACAGCGCGGAAGTGAGGGATAACATACCGGTAGGGCGGCTAGGAGAGGCCATAGTCTCGTCAGCTCCCGATTGCGCGTCTATACTAGTTGCGGTAGGTTTGTTCTCGTTTCCTGAGTCCCCTATCGACTGGTCCATCGCAATGGGGGAGACACCCTAGCTTAGAGATTTGGTGTGGCTCTGGCGTGGCACTTCAGAGAAGACGGCCAACAATGGCGGAAAATATCCGGTACGGCGAATAAGGCGGGCTACAGTGCTTCCTGTTGGCTAACAAGAATCGCTGTTCAATGCGATATCGAGCTGGCGATGCTTGCGGTGCGTCTTTGTCACAGCGAAAGAATTGATGAAATCGCGATAATAAAAGCAAAAATGAAGTTCAAAAGCTTTTGAAAATAACCTAGCCTCTTTAATACAAATATGTCGCCGCTTTTAGTTTATATTATGTAAGCTGTTTATCGCGTCTTTAACGCGACCAAAAACACGAACTTTTATATGGCTTTTTGAGCATCTTGAGAAGAAGACACAGGATCAAGCAGTTATTACAACCAAGCCTTGCGGATAAGATGGCCTTGTCATGTTCTCCACGACCACTCTTTCAAGAACTCCCAATGATGCCCGCTACCGATCATGTGAAGAGGAAGTTCGGAGGTGGTCCCTCGACAGAGACAGCGAAGCGCGTGAAGACAGGCCCTTTTGTTATGGACGATGACGACGAGGAGGAGGATGTGGAAGACAATGGCATATTTCAAAGTGAATCCCGGCCTGAAATACCTCTCCAGAGCCTCAATGACAGGGCCCCACCCTTATCTGAGGTCAAAACAGTCGAGAGTCCATGGCAGCGAAGGGCAGGGCTTCCAAATGATACCTCTTTAAAACCACAGACAACCACAGAGCAGTATACCTCCGTTGGGATCAAGACTTGTTCCGGGAAAATCAAATACGTACGACGAAGAGTGAAGAAAGATAATGTTTCCTATGAGAGACTGATCGCGGAGAGATCTGTCACAGCTCCCGGAAAGGCAACTCGAAGCTATTACGGAATTGACATTCACCAGCTCATAGACGAAGCTAAACTGTTGGATCCATCCACTCCAACTGTCCTTCCATCTGTTGAAACTAAAGTTCCTATCACGGGGTCTACAAAGGCTGCTCATCGACTGTGGACAGAGAAATACCGAGCTAGAAGTTTCAAGGATCTAATCGGCGACGACCGAACACACCGCACTGTGCTACGTTGGCTAAAGGCCTGGGACCCCATAGTCTTCCCTGGCTTAGCAAAGCCGAAAGCGAAGAAGGGCAACTTTCCAAACGAGTCAGAGGAGCGAACACATCGCAAAATCCTCCTTCTTACCGGGCCACCCGGGCTGGGTAAAACAACTTTGGCCCATATTTGTGCAAAACAGGTAGGATATGATGTCCTCGAGATCAATGCTAGTGACGAAAGAAGTCGAACCGTCGTAACCGGGAGAATCAAAGATGCTGTCGGTACTGAGAACGTTAAAGGCGTTACCGTTGTCGAAGACGGTAAGGTCATCAGAAAACCAGGCAAACCCGTCTGCGTTATCATCGATGAGGTTGATGGCGTTGTCAGCGGCTCCGGTGGAGGAGGAGAGGGGGGTTTCATGAAAGCTCTCATCGATTTAGTCCAGCTAGACCAAAGAAACTCCACCAGGTCAAAAACAGATGGTCACGGTACTGGAAAGAACAGTAAAAAGAAAGGAGACAAATTCCGGCTTCTGCGCCCACTTATTCTTATATGCAATGATGTCTATCATCCTAGCCTTCGACCCCTACGCCAGGCTTCAATTGCAGAAATCATTCATGTTCGCCGTGTGCCGTTCGACCAAGTTGTACAGCGCGTTAAAAGCATATTCGAAAAGGAAGGTATTCAATGCGACGCCGATGGGGCCAGAAAGCTGTGCGAGATCACCTGGGGGGTGAGCGGCGCCAGAAACCAAGCCCTAAGCCGCGGCACGGGCGAGGGTGATATCAGAGGTATTCTGGTTGAGGCCGAGTGGGTAGCACACAAATTTCGTTACGACGGCTTCACATCTTCCTCGAGGTTAACGAAGCTGTGGCTGGAACGGCATATTCTTCGCGAACAGCCAGGGAGCGGCTTGTCCCGTGGCCTTGGCCGTGGTGGAGTGAAGGAAATCGTCAGCAGAGTCTTTCTTGATGGAGCTGGCTTCCCACACGATCGACAGGACAACCAGGGGTTTCAAGACCCGTTCTCCAAAGAGAAGAGCAAAGCGCCCGTAGGGGTAGCGGAGCTTCGTAAGCGCGCAGCGATCAGCCGGCTGAGTGAAATGATCGATGCCTCGGGCGAGTATGATCGCTGTGCGACAGACTGTTTCCTTGCATACCCTACCCAGACATTCCAGGACGATACCCTCCTCTCCAAGCCCAATGCTGCTTATGACTGGCTATGTTTCCATGATCAGATATCCTCCAAGGTCTTTTCAAACCAAGATTGGGAACTGAACCCCTACCTTAGCCAAGCCATAATTGCTTTCCATCATCTATTTGCATCTTCACACAAGTTTGAAGATGGGTCAAAGATGGACATCGACAATGGTGATGAAGAAGAACATCCCTTTGCCGGCCCACGAGCGGACTTTGCCGCGTTTGAAGCTCAGAAACAGAACCGCGCCATCCTGGTTGAATTCCAATCATCCTTATCTGCACCCCTAAATCGAACATTCCACTCTACTGAAACTGTTGTCACGGAACTGGTCCCGAATCTGACGCGCATGTTAGCACCAGATATCAGACCTACTCTTGTTGGAAACTCAGGTGGCCAAGGCACCGTTGCTAGCGTACGAAAGGATAGCGAGCGGGTTTTGCTTAAGGCTGCTGTTGGCGTAATGCATGGCTTGGGTGTCACATTCGAGAAAGCCAGAGTTGAAACGGAGGCTGGCGGACACGGTGGCTTCATCTACCGGATGGAACCGTATGTGTTTCTTCTTTGGCTGTTTGTCATTTTGGCGCCTTTAATGTTACGTTGGCTAACGATCATAACCGCAGGTCACTCGATTCTCTCAACAGCTTCTCAAAAGTAAAAGGCACTGCTTTATCAACAGGCAGCATATCTGCCCCCGTCCGGTATGCAGTGCGTCAAGCACTTGACCAGGAATACCGCAAGAGCCTGATCAAACGTCAATCAGAACCGCAGACCTCCCACTACGGCGGCCCATCGGGCTCAGCAAAAGGCAGCAACTCCAAAGATGCGAATGATGGTGAAAACAGTAATAAGCAAGCCAAGTCTAGTCGATCCACGGGACCCAAGCGAGACTTCTTCGGGAGAATCATCCCGGAGAAGCCACGGGGTGCCTCTCCGGATACGGGTAAAGCGGGCCAGGGGTCGAGCAGGACCAGCGATGCAAATAAGAAGGCCAAGAAAGTCTGGGTCAGCTACCATGAAGGCTTCTCAAATGCGGTGAGAAAGAAGATCACGATGGCGGAACTGTTATCTGGGCTGTAATTTAAATTTTTTTTTTTTTTTAAATTATATATACCACATGCCACATGCACATAGAAGCATTATCCAGTTTGGGGAATTTCTGAGTGAGTTTTTTTCAGTTTTTAGCGGTACATCATAGGGCGTATATAGTATCTCTGTTCATCACCCCTTTTTGTCGCACAAGGTTGGAAGATGAATACTCGGGTTAGGCTGGCTGGACCCATCAGCAAACACAGGAATCACATCACGATCATCACTTCACAAGCAAAAAATATCCATGTCTATTAGCGTATGGAGCAGAAGAGATATATCTCGGCTCCAGGCACTGGTTCTATGCATCTATATAGAGACACATGACCGTTGAAGAATTAAGGGTCGTCTGGAGGAGCTGACATGGGTGCATAGCCAAGGACGAGAATCATTTTTAGATCAAAAGACTTGTAATGCCAATATCTTCTTAACGTGTCTTGACTATGTGTTTGCCTAGTCTGTTGTATATTTTGCCAGGTTTAGTTGTAATGTTAGGGGGCCTTTTGGGCGTCTGCTGGTAGGCTTGATATAGATGGGCTTCGTGTATATAACCACTAGTTACATGGTGGAGCCAGACTTGTGGATTGAAACTTCGACAAGACTATTTCTTATATTATTAGAACTATATTAGTTATTCACCCATTAACAAGATTAATTGCAAGTAGGCAATTATAACCATTATCTGCACTCAATAGGCAGCCAAAAAAAAAGAAAAAAAGAAAAAGGAACAAGATGTAAATATCTAAAGGTAAAAGAAACCAATTGATCAAATTAAAAATATCCGCAAACGCCAATCCGTTTCTTTCCCAGGTCGTTTTCGCGTCATCGAAGAGGCGGCGTGGTTCAAGCGCGATGCGCAAAGTAGCTTGCTCGAGCTGCCTCAGATGTGGTTGGGGAGATACAAGTCGTTAATTTCATGGATGCAGAAGACTTCAACTTCGAGGGCTTGACGTTTTGTTTTTGACGGTGCAGAGCAGCCTTGAGAGCTGCAATGCTGGAGATTGAGGACGTGCTCATTGTTGAGCTGGCGCTGGAAGAGACCTTGTCTGTGGGTTTGGACAAGCTGTTGCGCTTGGAGAAGATAGACATTCTCTGGGAGGCAGCGGTAGAGGTAGTGTTCGACATGGTTGACAGTAATATTATTTGTTGATGGTGTCTGCTTTGGTAAAGACGTCTTGCTGATTTGTGTTCTAGCGTTGATAGACTCAAGGGCGTATGTATATTGTATATGGAAGTGAAGATGTTATCAGTCAAGTGAAGATCTATTGATGCGATTGTGATGATGATAGAAAAGAAAGAGGGAGAATAAAGAGAGGATATCAGCCCCTTCTTATAGACGACCAGACGACGCATCTCTGGTATACAACCACCCATGCTTATTCCTTATTCCTCGTACTCCGTCTAGTCAATCGGCGTACGGCATGCTCAGAGTGCAGGACATCGTCATCCGCTCATCATTGTTACAAATCCAACATAGCAAAGCGCGAATCAAAGTTGCCTGTATGGATCCTGGCCCCTTGCTAAGGGAACGATGCATTTGATAACCATGAACTATTAATATAAGCCTCATAGGCGCGGTGGAGTCCATGTTTTATTCCGATGCAAATACCTTGGGAAGCTCGTGTACCTAAGTAGCGCCAGCTAGTACGCTGAACCAACACACACTTTGCGTGCTGGTTGGCGCGCCCTTGGAGCACGTCAGAGGGTATGACGGAGTAGACGGTAGACGCCGTGTCTGGAGTCTTCCATGGCTTGGTAATGGAGACGAGCTATCCAACACATCATCGACATCATCGACATCATGTTTGATTCTATCTTTTCTTCTCCTTTTTTCCCATCTACAAAAAAGTCGGAGTTGAAGTCGGAATCAACCCTCGGAATACCTTAGTAAGCAGGTCTATTCCTAGATAACCAAACAAAGCAAACAGGAAAAACGAAACAAACAGAAAAATCTACTGGTCGAAACGATATAAGATGAAGATGATAATGTTTGATTTGACGGGGATACGAAGGCCAACTCAATTGAAGAGTCATCAGTGGTCGTTCTCCCGTTCTGGACTACGACGGAAGCAGATTCCGAACAGATGCAAACAAGGCGGCATACCAACAAGGGTATTTTAGGCCGGCGGCAGGCAGCAGTTTTCCTGCTGCTACGTCCAGAAGCCATAGACTTAATTAAATACCTCGTCTCATGACCCATTTCTGCATGTCTAGATCGATTGATAGACTTGTACTTACTATGTATATATGCATATCCCACTCCACCGGAGCCCTGGTGTATATGGCTTCCGTCACAGCTGATCTCGGGTTAGGCATCTATATACGGAGTACACGGGCTGTAAGGAGTTGTATATGTTTCATAGATATAGGTCAGACCAGAGTAAAAGTTGTCATATGCTCTGTTCATATAAAGTGGTTATGCTGACAGGATATTTTTACACCCCTAAGTACATTTATCTATATGCATATGTAGCTGCGTGGTATCTTACAACATCAAGGCTCCCAGTAAGAAGCAGGCTGCAATGAATACGATAGAAACTGTTCTCCAATCACACTGCACCGCACCATTCGGAACTGGCCCGTTGGAATTCGATCCCGGTCCTGATTCACGGCTGCCTGATGTAGGAGCCATGCTAATAATAGTATCAGTTGTCACATCAGTCAAGGTTGTCAGTTGCAGTCTTAATAGTATCGGTCATCACATCAGTTGAGGTCGTAAAATCAGTGGCAGTCTCTGTCACTGTCGCCGTAGTCGGCGTAGGTAGAGCCGTACAATATCCATCTAAACCGCATCTCTGGTCTTCATCACAGCATTCCTTCCCACAGCAGCTGCCGAGTCAGGACACGCTCCGCTCTCACAACACTTCTCCGTCTCGGGAATATAGCAGCTCTTCGAAGCAGTACAGCATGACTCGCCCTTACCGCAGGACCACGTTTCATCCCCGTCCGTACAGCAGATCGATAATAACGGATCATAACATTTCTCTTTGCCGCACTCCAGTTTGTGGTCAGGACAACATCCTCCGTCCTTATGACAGGTGCTGGACTTGGGACAGCTCCCTCCGTCGTCACAGCATATGTCTTTCTTGGGGTCGTAGCAGTGCTCGCCGCCGCACGGCTTATAGCCTGCCGGACAGCAGCCAGAAGGCTCGACGCAGTCGTATCCCTTGTCACATTTTGTTCTTTGATCTTCCATACTAATGTCACTATCATACAGTATCCTGCCGAACAAGATCGAGCAAACAGTTTTGCTCCCGAAAACCCTTCGAATCCAGTCAGGGTACTGTTCACAACACGTTGCGGCCGGATGTCCCCCGTCAAATGAGACGGCGGTTTCACCTCAACAAGTGACTGGCCCCCAGCCTGGGACTGCCGGCAAGAACGGAGCTTGAAGCAGCCAGTAGGCCGAAAATGAGGTATTTCATCCGTCTTAAGTTCAAATTTGCGTATTGACCGCCAACACACCGTGATGGAGCAGCCTCGTCTCTTTTTAATTCTAGACATCAGTCCCATTTTTAGGCCAGTGCGGCTCCATGCACAGCCTGTCAGGCGGGCTGCGGTCAACGAAGTCCTTAACCAATTGATTCAGCTGTGCGCCGGCGACGTATCATGAGCTGTCTGTCCATTGCCGTGTAGTTATAATTGTAGTGTAGTTGTAGCGTAGTTGTAGTGTAGTTGTAGTGTAGTTGTAGTGTAGTTGTAGTGTAGTTGTCACTCGCTGTCTTACTTTGTTTCACTGACTAAACGCGCGATGACGCTCGTCGGCCCAACTTGCCAAAAGGGAAACTTGTCTTACCACCACCAGCTCCACATGAAGATTTATATAAATACTTGATATCTACTCTGTATCTATTGGAAGGGAGTTTGTAGAAGTAGTTTACTGATGAAATAACAGGCAGAAACATGTTGACTACTCGGGTTCTATAGTATGCCTGTCTACCCAGAGAAATACATCTCCCTGCAGGGTCCAACTTGCATCGGATTCTCTCCATCACCATAGAGATAGTTGCTTACGGCCTGCTCCATATATGCATTCAGCATGGCGGAAGGCTTCCTGACCTGTGGCCAGTTCTCGACGGCTCTATCCTTCCAGTCAAGCGTATCACGCATACCGGTCAGCAGGGTGTTATAGTTCTCCCCGTTCTTGATGAAGAGTAACTGGCTCAGTTCGACGGTGCGAAGAGTCGCTGGCGTCGTGTCAAGCAAGTCAAGGATATCAGACTGTACCACGTGGAAGCTCGAGAGGGCAAAGTGTCGTAATTTTGACCACTTGTACACGGGAAAAGAGACAGGAGGGAAGTGAAATGCTCCATGGACAGGTCCTCAGTTGCATAGATGCCTCTATCCGTATGGAACAAGAAGTGCTCTAGATCAGCGCACTTGGACAAGGCAGAGTGGTAATGGCTGTCGTTGAACGGTGTCCAGACGGAGTCATCCTTCCCGCCCACGAACAGAGCGAGATCAAGACATTTGAAGCCGGGCTGTTCCAGCATCGTGGTGAAGTTGGACAGTTCTCGACAGGGACCGTTGAAAATACGGTAGTTGATTCCCATCTTGTGGCTGCATGGATCAATGATCAGCTCTGAAACACCAAGTTTGCCAGCTTGTTTAGCAAGAGCTCTCGTAACAACTCGGAATCCTCGCCATTGGTCTTTGAGAGACTCGTCGGTCTCCTCGTTCCATGGTATAGCGTTGACAGGGAATATCTTCTCCTCCGAGGACACCCATGCTCGTGGCATGGGATAGTTGAATGTATACGGCAAGCTCCGTATATTAGGCGTCCGGTATAGAGGAAGAAACAGCTTCTCATGCGCTGTTGGGATGATGGTCACCTTCCTCAGTGCAGGAAACCGCTCTAGTCCAAACTTGAGAGCCTCAACATCCGTCCAGGAACCAAACACTCCGAACTAACCCTAAAGATACTTCTTATACCTTTCCCGTGACTCCCACAGTAGCATTAACGGATGGGTTTCCATCATCCGCTCTATTAGCCCTGCTTCGTTTCGCAGATCAAACTTACAGCCAGCCAGCCCCTCGAGATTCCCATCGCATGCCTGCGAGAACCATTTGGGATAGTACTTCGGCGATTCCCCTGGGCATCGTTCCTTAGGGACCATATAGCAAACCGCTGGATTTACCGAAATACTCGCCTTTCCGCTCCACGACGTCTTCGACAGGACTGGGACTGAACGCGCCGTCGTCCCAGATGATCTCTTTGCAGGCGCATTATTTCATGGCTGGCTATGCTGCGGAATACCTCGGTATCTCGCTTATGAATAGATAGGAAAACTCGGTCCAGGTCGAGAGGGGCGGCGTTTCTTATCACTGAACATGCCAGGCGTAGGTTCTTGACGGTGCTGTTGGGTAGGTAGGAGAGTCGTTCTGAACATAACACAAACACTTACCACCCTTCCACTGGAGATCCAGATATTAATCTTCCAGCCACGCAGTCTATAGATCATGAAGATGGTATCCTTCTTATGTCTATCGAGTAGATTCATATCAAAATGACGAAAAGGGCGTCCTTGCGGTTAACCGACGCCCTTCAAGGCTCCCGTGGTGCTGTGTTTCAGCTAAAGATCAGCGGTGGATCTTCGCAAGCAATATATGCGAGTAGATAAGCTGCAATTCAGGGGGTGGGCGCTAATCATGTAGTGGCCTATTTTTACGAGCCGCTGAGCCTTTCCTGGAATGTCTTTGATGGCATCCGCTCTTTTACCTTCTTACTAGTTAGGGTTGACTTGCTTATTTGAACCTCACTCAATATCTAGTGAAGCCACTGCCACGAGTTGCTATATCCTAGCCTGTTTACTTGGAGAGGACACACAGCAGGAGAACATAGTTATAAATTCTGACTAGACCTATGTTCTAATTAGAATATTGCTCGGTTCAAAACGTTCCAACACAAAGATAAGTCCCCGCCCATAAGCCGGTACAATCAGCCCTGATTTCTGGGTTCCACTTGACGAGGTTTGCCAATGTCACCTTATATTTCGCCTGAATGACTGGACAGATGTTCCCAATCTCAACAAAATGGAACTTGTTGCAGTTATTAACCATCCCATTTTGGGTCGGAGTGGGCGTCTGGATACTATTTGGAGGCTTTGTTGGAGTTGGTTGGGACTCATGGCCGATGATGGAGACGCAGACATAGGCATTAGTCCAGAGGCCTGAGCAATCGCTGCCAGCTGATGGATTCCACTGTGTAAACTGTGCAAGGGAAATGCCATACTTGGATTTAATGGCAGCGCAGTTCTCACCGGGCTCTACCAAATGAAACTTGTCGCAGTTGTCGACAATCTTAGGTTGTGTTGGGAGAGGAGTCTCAATACTAGGCGGATACTCATGGTCAGCTTGCTCTATCAGCACTTGCGGTGTATACATATACCTACCCGTTAGATGGTTTAGTAGGCGTTGGCTGGGAAGGTGAAGAAGTGGTCTTGGACGGCTCATGGCCGACAATAGACACGCAGGCATAGGCATCAGCCCGGAGGCCTGCGCAGTTGCTACCAGCTGATGGATTCCACCGTGTAAACTGTGCAAGGGAAATGCCATACTTGGATTTAATGGCAGCGCAGTTCTCACCAGGCTCTACCAAATGAAACTTGTCGCAGTTGTCGACAATCTCAGGCTGTGTTGGCAAAGGGGTCTCGATGGCTAAGTCAACATATTAGCATCGCCCCATTTTCGGAGTACAGCTAGAGAAACTTACTGCCGGGTGTTCCCGTAGGCCCTGATGGTCCGGTTGGCGATGCCGTCGGCGTGGGTTCAAATGCCGCTTGCACGCAATAGGACTTGCCTACAGTCATGCCATCACAGTTACCGGTGATCGATGGATTCTATACCTCAGTGTTAGCTTTACGATTTCTATTCCTGGATATAGGAGAATAGGGGATTGACCACCACTCACCCAACGCTGGAACTGCTCCAGAGTAATGAAGCTTGCCTGAAGCACTTGGTCACATGGAAGCTCATCGTTATAATCAAGCCACCGGGTGCAGTAGCCGGTCGTGTCCTTGTCGTGCGGATAAGTGGGAGTGGTGCCTCTGCGGCGAGAACGGGCGCCAGGGGCAGCGCCAAACGCCAATCCCGAGCTAACAAGGAGCAGCAAGCAAGCTTTGAGAGTGACCATGATGATGAGTCCAGCAGGAAGGAGATTAACTAAAGAACGGCTTGATCGTCGGTGTTGGCGGATTCCTCATCTACCTTGTACCCCGGGCTTTATATAGATCTCAATCTCTATCAGCCGCTCCAGCACCTCAACAAGTCAAGGTAGGGAAACTAGATTTCTCCCACCTCTACCCGAGGTGTGTAGTAAGGAGAAGGAGGGACTGGTTCGAAGCTATCAGGCTCGCCTGAAATGCCAGGGACTGCATAGCTCGCCTGCAACGGTGGAAAACATGAGGGAAACTCCGGTCCACATGGGAGTATCTGCATGTATGTACGTAAATACCCATGTATGGACATGAGCCTAGTCCGGAAGTTATACGTTTAAACTCATCCGGAAGTTTCTCCGTAGGAAAGATATGTTTTTGGATCCCTGCCTGGAAATTCTATATAAGGCGGAGTATAACTATATCAGCCTCCCGTCCGTGACTCATATGACGCTGCAGCCTCCATGTTGTCAGGGACAAAAAAACAACCTGGTCAGGAGATTCATGCATATCGTTAATTAGCCGCATTCGTTTTAATATTGGCTGGACGCACCATATTCATCGGTGTTCTGAAAAGGGGCGACACCGAGTATACCGACCTCCCCATGCGGACGAGGTATGCTACAAACAATCATAGAATATGCAGACTTTGTCTTGGGCTACATTCACTTCTCTACTAGTTAATGCAAGCTGTCAACCCTTGATGGAGAGAATTAGGAGAAGGAGTTATTGGATAACTAAATGGCTTTCAGTCCCCTGGCACTTGGCTCCGGAGGGGAAACGCCCTGTTCAGCGTCCGCATTTTCTACACTTTCCTCAGCCTCACTAGCTTCCCTGGCCACAATGGCTTGATATTCTGCTCTGAGCTTCCTAGCTTGTTTAACCCATTTGGGGTTCCCAGAGCGCGCGGCTATTTTGCTCTTCCGCCACTCTGCGCTCACCCTGGCCCTCTCCTGATCACAATCATCTTGCTCTAGGCGGCAGTATTGATCAGGAAAGTTGCATTTTTTCTCTCCAAACATCGTGTTTTGCTTCTGCCAGTCGTATGGGCTCTAGTGATGTTGGTGTTGGTTGCAAGGAGGAAAAAAGTGCGGCCATATAGCCCAGTTAATGGACGTGGAGTTCCCCATATACCTAGTTAGTGAATATGACGGGTCTGCTGCGAGGGTCGAAGCCGCTCCGCTGCTCTTTTCGTATAAGAACGTACGCCAGGCAGCCCCAGGGGCCCCTGAATACGCCGTACGTATTCGCTCTGCGATATATCGAGCCCTGCCTGCTAGTCCCTGCTCGCTCACACAATCAATTAAGGATCGACAAAGGTGTTCTCACCAACACTGCATGTCAACAGTGGAGAAGGCCCAATGCATATAATTAGTTATGTGCTAGGGCCAGGTAACGAAGTGCCTGACTGCGCTGTACCTGGCAGGGGTGTCGACGTGCCCCGGCTTGCGGCGCTGCTCCGCTGAAAAAATGGCAGTTGATATAAGTAAAAAGCGACATGAACTGCACTCCCTCCCTTCATGTGCTCAACTTATATATATTCCACACGAAGCTAGCTTTTACAGCGCCTACAAGACAAATGCGGGTTGCGTTCACACTCCTCCTCGCCGCCGTAGCTGCCACCACAGCTGCCGCTGACGACAACATCACCACCATCCTGCCCAATGAGCGGCCAACCGTCACCATCGATCCATGGGAGTGCTTGACACAGAATCTCACCGAGTACTTCGACGTTCCGAGACCGACCGGCGCGTTTTTCTCTGCTGTTCACTCCCACGGCAGTGAGCTGATCAAGGACTGCGTCGCAGCAACAGAGCCAGTAGAGTGCCCCTTTCCCGAGTCCTCTGACTGGTGCAGCCTCAGCACTTCGATACCCGCGTCTATACTACCAGCCTACTCCGCCTATGGCAGCGTGGCCTCTGTGTGGTGGAAGTCACATAGCTCTGCGGCCTTCTCAGCCGCCGCAGAGTGTCCGCTTGGCTGGTTTGACGCCATGCTTTCAATTCCTGGCGGTAGGACGTGGATGAACCTGACCAGAATCTATGGCGGATGCTACGCCAATACACAGCCTACCTCTGGTTCTGAACCCTCAAAGCTACTATCGATGACAACCGGGCCGACAGCTATGCCAGGTGCGGGAGCAGCGGCTACGGACCCTATCCAACCAACGGCTACTCCTATGAAAAACAGCATTCTTGGCTGGGCGCAAAGCAGGCCTGGGTCGCTAGTGGTTGCCGGTGCTGGGCTAGCTGCCGTCTCCATTAACTCAATGCTATAGCCGAGAACTCACCCAGAATGAACTTGATGGCCTAAAGAGTTGGAGGAACCGTTGGGTGGTAACTATTATATCGGCGTTATCCATATACATCCCTATCCCTTCCTCCTATACATATAAAAGTTCATTGGTCATTTTACACATCAGGTGACCCGGATTAAATTTCTTCCAGGTCAAATATTATTCCGCTTCTTACGACACTTTTTAGCCAATTATAAATCATAAATTGTACTGGAGAAATATAACTGGGTGGGTATAAACTCTAATACATTTTACTAGGTCAAAAGCTTAAGCTTTCTCCTATAGCTAGCAGAGCTATCTATAAGTAATGGAGCGAATGTATTCAATATCGATATTCAAAAAAGATCACGTGACCTGATGACTAAGCACCCATCCAATATGTTGATGACTAAGCATCCATCCAACATGTCGATGACTCAGCATCGTCATTCTATTTTGATGGGGTAAGATGACTAAGCTGCCAAGCCACTACTCATGCAAGGTTGCAAGTATCCAATAAAATGCCCAGAATTCAACCAATCACGTAATTTACAGCAGACCCACAAATACACAACTCAACAAGCCAGAAGATGCATTGCTTGATGATATTGGCCCCTTCAGCTCTTCAGCTCTTTGCGAAAGGCGTCAACCGTCAAGATGGCCGAGAAACCTGATTTTGATAACGACAAATACGGAGAGAAGTATAGAAGAGTCTACTACATAATAGATTCTGCTGAAATATCTGCCTTTGAGAATCAGGCATTGACTAATTTCATAACTTCCACAAGTGCCGCAGTTGTAACATCAAAATATGTTCAAGATCGGGTATCCCAGAACTCAGGGACTTGTACTCTAGAAGAGACTCTACGGTCCCTTCTACAAGACATATCGACACTCTCTAAAAAAAGTAGGTAGCCCCCAATCACAAAATATTGTCTGAATCTTTCAAAATCTAATTCAATAAATAGTGACCCATGATGACGATATGAACCCAAAGACTGAAACTGCGCTTTATGAGCGTGACGGTGGCCGTTGCTTTATTTCGGGTCTGTCTGCGGGGGTTAAACCTACGCATATCGTCGCCCCATCGATTCAAAACGATAAAGATTTACTCCCTGGGGTAAGAAAGCCTGTTAACCTTAAATGTTTGCGAGGCGTATCTAAACATGCGTTGTGGAATAGGGCTATCTGCGTCCACTCCTCGAGGCCATGTTTCGCCAGGAAGAAATTGAGCAAATGTTCGCTCTCCTGCATGCGCAAGAGAAGGGGGCTGAGCTTAAAAATCTTCTACTTATGGAGCCGTCAGTCCGCTGGGCTTTTCTCGGTGGTCACTTTCAAATCATAAAACAGTCATGCCTAGAGCCACCGGAATCTAAAGACCCTACAAAGATGCGAACCGGTGGAGTACGTTTCTGCATAGACTCCTGCAAGATATTGCGGTTTGATTAATGCTGAATAATAGTGGTGGCTTCGAAGAACCCCTCCTGGGCGGGTCTATGCCCCTGGCCTACCCAAAAATAACAAATTATATTCTATACCGTCAACACCAAACCCTGATACCCATCCATTACCGGCAGCGGTTTTACTATCGATTCATCAGGTTATTTCACGGTCTCTACGAAACCTTGCCGTGGAAAAGGTGGTAGAGGCCGGATGGCCTGCTGCGAAACCGGGTTTGTTTTCCTAATCTATTTTCCGTGCATGAGCTAGAGCTGAACATACTTAGAACCCTACACATTGGGCCGGATAGGAAGGATGTTTCTACGGGCTACTCTCAATCTTTTACCCGGTTTTATTCGGCTAAGGCTCTTCGAGTTTATTGATAAACTGGCGGGGTACTGGGATCCCACACAAAAAAATGAATATGTCAAATATCTCCCGTTGGGACTTTGTCTTAAAAGGGCACATCGAAATATTGAAAATGAGGCCAATGCGTTACTATTAGTGGAAAAATATACATCAATCAACGCTCCGAGGCTGATTGGCTCAGCTACGGTCGACCACTTTACCGGCTACATTCTTATGACGAGGATATTTGGAGATCCGCTGAGCCATGTGCATTATTTGACCACATGGGAGGAGCGAAAACAGATCGGAAAGGATCTGGCGAAGTGGATCGCTGAGATGCGCCGTATCCCGAACAAGTCGAAGTTTTTGATTGCAGACACGCTTGGAGGTCCAATTAGTGATCATAGGTTTAGTGAAGAACTCTGGGGCCCCTTCAATAAGGTATCTGATTTCACGGATCGGCTCACTCGGGACGTATTCTCTAAGAAGCCTCGACATGAAACGCCGCTCTCCTATCTATATGAACGGAAGCACGATGTTTGTTTCACCCATTCGGATTTACACATATCCAATTTGTACGTTACCCGTGGCCGACTCACCGGTATTGTCGATTGGGAAAATGCTGGGTTCAAGCCTGAGTATTGGGAGTTCACTCGGTCATTGTGGACCTGTGCAGGGAGTTACTCCCGGAAATATATGTACATGAGCGCGTTTGATGGTAAATATGATGATGAATATAAGGCGGAGATGTTCATCCTGGAAAATTCACCATTTATATTCTAATACAATTAGGATCGAATGAATACTCCGTTATTTAATTATATCATCACACTCTCTTAGCTACATTCTCCATATGCTGTTGCTCAGATCTTGACTTATCCAGACTCATGACTCCTTCCTCCATATGAGGTACTGTTGTACTAGACAACACGCCAGCTTCGTCTTTCCCAGCTTCGTCCATGGACATTGGGGGCCCTGTAAACGCTTTGCGTGCCCTTACAAAGTACTATATCACGCTGATAGTGGCAAAGCCCGCGAACACCACACTTGTATAGTTTATACTCGATAGTATCACCGGTAAGGATACTAGAAGATAGAAAAGAAAGGTAGAGAAACATATCCAATAGATCGTAGTTATATTTAATCAAGAAGCCAAATTTCCCTAGAGAAAAGGGAGTATTCTTGAATATCTTGCGACGCCGAATAAGAGAGATCAAAATCGGCAAGCTATAGGATATTGAGAGGCAGATTGTAGCCACGCCAGTAAAGGAGTTAAAGGCTGCCGCAGAACCAAAGTAGATCAATCCTAGGAGACAACCCACCGCGGTCGAAAGGATAATCCCCCATAATGGGACACCAAAACGGCGACTTCGGCGTTGCACATCCTTATGTCTACTTTAGGGTATATACAATAGTTTGGGGTAAAATACTATGTACTTGCGAAATATACAAATTTCTCTAGCCGGAATCACTCCTTCTTCTTCTATATATTGCCATCAATTGGGCGTAGGGGGGTACGTAGCATGTTGGAATAGGATGGGGATGGATGGTGTTTACATTGATGATTCGCGTTGCAACGCGAAACTAAAAATACTTTTGTCATGTGACTGTATATAAATAACTGAGTATGGCTGCAGTCACAGCTGCTGCCCCGAGCATGGGGCCACAACAGAACGGAACTTGGCAGCCAGGGCGCTCCATCGTTACTCCGTGTCTGTAGTCAAAATTCAGCAAGTTACCCTCGCTCTGACCGAAACCACCTGCAAGAGACACCTCCAGGAACAGCGAGAGAGGCATGACCAATGGCCAATGAGAGGAAGTTCTTGACAGGGATATCGATAATTCTATGGAAATAACTTGCCCGCCTTCTCTGGTGGCCCCCCCTTCTGATATAAATTCCCACCATCAGACCCGGACGTGCTTATGATACCCTACAAGGACAATAAGGACACAATAAGGACACAAGCATCTTACACAGTTAAACGAGCATCCAACAACATTCTCCGCAACCTGTCAAACCGGCCCGCCCGCCAATATGCCGGAGCTTTGCGACATCAGCTACTCACGCGAGGAGTGCATCGCCGCAGTCCGTGGGTATTACCAGTTTCTTACCACCCTGTACCTGAAAGAGAGCGATATCCTGGAGCCACCAGAAGGAGGCTGGCCCTCGGTTACCCCTAGTGCCATACAACAGTTGGGCAAGACGGACGAAGTCGCGTCGCTGCTGCGGCATCTTCCCTATCTACGCCTACCTGGAAATGGCGGACCCCAGGCCTTCCCGTACAGCCACTTTGCTAATTGGGAGGAGGCTTGTACCTACATAAATCAGGGCAGGTCAGACCCCGAGGGCATTAAAGTGTGCTCAGAGGACCATGGCGCGAATGATGTGCCGCCTCGTGTTGTTGGCCTCACAAGTGGCGGGCGGAATAATTACCCTCTTCTCCTCGACACAGAGCTCGGCGTTAATTATTGGCCAGAGTGTCACGGAGATATTTAACATGACCCTGATGCCCCCTGCGAGCGAATCTGGGGCGACCCGTACGACTACGCACCGATGAGTGAGGCAGAGTGGCGCGCCGAGGGTGCATACTGGGCCATCCCAGACTTCTTTGAGATTCTTAAAGACCAGTTTCGCCGTCTGCTCTTCGTCCCCACTAATACGCTCATAGTAAGAGATGTCTACAACCCACATTCGGCTGGGATTATTGAGTTTCTACAGGGGATTTATCGAGAGCATGGCTGGCCTGACCTTGAACACTATAACAAGTTGGAATGTCTCAAAGATATACGAAAGCGGCTGATGGAGAAGTATCCCGACCATGTGGACTCTAACGAAGACCCGAACGAATAGACGGTCGGCGTAGGAGGCATGCATGGTGTTGAGGGTATGGCGTACATTTTCAATGTTTAATGTCATACCTGCCCTAGTGTTGAAAACAAAATAATACCAGCATTTTATCACACTGTTTGAATTTCTTCTGAGGAAGCCCTTGTCATGCTCCATACCAATGTTCTAGGGTCTCAAGCTATACGAGGTCTCGGGGCTTGCCTATACTAGTATTATGCAGCTACCTATCTTGGGGAGCTGTTTACTATTACCGCTCCAGGAGTCCTACCTTCGCCGCAATCTAAGTACTACAGTGGAGTAATGGGTAACTAGAACACAGCTGAGGGACGGAGTACAGTACTCGAAAAGACGGACCCCCAATGCGACCATATACTTAGAAATGTTTGGATGCTAGGAACACCTCCTTGCGGCGATGATAGTGGTATATGTATGCATATATATATATATACTGTGTGCGAGCTGCTCCTGATGGATGCCATCTCCCATCTCTTCTATGATCACACGCTTTCTCTACCCTAATGAGGTCAAGCGTGAGGTGTGTTTCAGCCACCCTTCTATGGGGGGCAGGCTGGACCTTTGCTGCCATCAACCTCAACGGCTCCCAAGCTGTGTAATTGACGCCGCTAAAGAAGCTGGTAGAATGTACAATGCGGGTGATTTGACGCAGACGATGGCGCTTGTTAACGTTCCCACGCGGCCCGAGTTTAGTTTCATGGGGTCATTCGGCAAATCCACCATATAGAGATGGGCTGGAGGATAACCCTTGTTGGCCTTCTGGTATCGCTGCCCTGGATCCAGGCTTCACCCTCCTCACATTTGATCCTTTCTACAACGGACAGTCTCCTCCATACGACTACAGGGCACCATATGTCCAAGGTTCAAATGGGTCCTACAACTGGCTAAATTGGAGCGCTACAATTCACTTTCAAGAGTCAAGAATGAATATAAGTTGGGGTCTATATATGTATAGTTAAAATAAATATTGAATAATCTATACATCAAAGCATAACTTCAATCTAGCACTTGAATATTTTAGACTTCTGGAATCCGGATGGACGGGATGGACCGAGCGGCCTGAATTTAGCGCTTGAAATGGAGGACTTGAGCACTAGGGAACGGTGGTTCATCTCTGACGCAAAAGATTGCAGATATATAAGATAGACTTATTATACTATAATATAGTGTCAGGATCTGCCATTCAGCCAAAAAGGCGAGCCCGCACTAAGTAGCGGCGGAGAGACTGGATATATTTGACAAAAGGTCTTTCAAGCAGTTCTGCAAAGCCACCCTTTCCGTCTTTCCAGACCCAGTCATCGCTTCACAGCTAAAAAGTTATACCTTTATCTCTTTACCGCCTTGACCTTATCGAATGCACGCGTAGCAACACAGCGATGGTGATCGTAGGAACTGCTGGTCCTCGTTGTATAATTTCTCCATCCCCGATTTGCAGGAGTATAAGAACAGAACAGAAGAAGACAGAATTACACTGGCAAGGCTGAGACCAGTCTCCGTGTTTACCTATATTCAAGTAGGTAATTTCTTCAGGCGTAGTCCTGGGTTGAAGGGCAATGGTTCAGTAGAATAACCACGACGGTCTATGGTTGTATTAGCCCTAACCGTTCCAAAGTCATCACTAGCTAAATATAGAGCTGCCACTTAACATTCAAGAATATGCCTATTCTTCCTCCCAGGTATATTCTAACCTCTTTTTGGTTCACAGAGGTAGTAGTAGAGCATTTCCAGGCCATCTTCCAGAATGTAAAGTAGAACATAGGTTATTCTGTTGGTGATACCTGAATTATCCTAGACCCGATTGGTTGCTAACGCCTTCCAGAGGGCGTAAAGCAATGCATCATGTACGTTTGTATCCCTCTGTAGTGACGTATGTCAAGAGTAATGGTGAAGTTGTTATGTATTGAATATGTTCCCACTATCCGTGAGGCTGCTCTAGTTTTGCCTTTATTTGCATTTTTGACCAGTTACCGATAAATGCGATGCACCTTTCTATCGACATCAATGTTGGATTCCAACCCTGATACCTGCCGGGAAACATAGTTCACTATGGCCAAGACGAGAGGCGAGAACGCATATTGCAACGTCTAGGTAAATCTGGGTATGGGCATATAGTGGTATTAGCCTGGTACTATAATCAATCCCAATAACTTAGGCGACACTTTGAGCCACTTTTAATTTTTAATAAATTCTGTTCTTTCGTCGCCAAATCTGCATCTCTCTTTGTCAGGATAATAAGTGCGCAACTTGGGGAGGTTTATTAGTCGTAGACCAGTGCATAGATACTCGGCTGGTAGCTTGTGAGGCGGCTTATACTCCACGGCTAGGGCAACCCGGTATTTTTCAGTAGTATATACTCTTCATCAATACCATTTGCGTGGTGTTCAAACACAACTCTTTTCCCTGGGGAAGAGTGCGTTCTGAACCCTGGCTCTGTAATGGCGTACCGTAGCTGTAGAACTTAAGATGGCGTATCTGTTGAATATCCTCTAGCGTAATGGCGGGAGAGAACAGTTTGACTAGTGGGAGTAGGTTGTTGTAGAAGGTAACCTGGGTCTCCCTGCAGCATTAAATAGTGCGTCTTTGGAGGCCTCTTCACTCTAACGCCCTTCACTCTAGACAGTGACATTCACTAGAGCTCAGTGAGAATGGCGCTATAGGGGTATAAGCCACGAACAGCGTAACAGTGACTCCATCTGTTGAGGATAGAAGAGTATTGATTGAAACCAAGGGAGAACAGGCATATGAAAAGATAAAGCACATTCGACAGAGATGTTGAAATCAGATGGCTGAGGACATCTATATAAAGCCAACGGACTAGAAGGGATAAAGACACAGAACACCATACATCATATATACAAAAGGACATTAACCATCTCTACCTTTTTTTAACAACATCAAAGATCAAAGGCCCCTCATCTGCCGCCTTGACTATTTACTTACTTCTTCAGCTTCTCCGTCAGCTCGGGTACCTTCTCGAACAAGTCCCCTACTAGCCCCACATCTGCAACCTGGAAGATAGGCGCATCTGGATCCTTGTTGATTGCCGCAATGACCTTGCTATCCTTCATACCAGCCAAATGCTGGATAGCACCCGAGATACCGGCACAAAGATAAAGCTGGGGAGCAACGTTCTTGCCCGTCTGGCCAACCTGCAGCGAGTTATCGGCCATCTTCTCGTCAACCGCGGCACGGGAAGCACCGATGGCGGCACCAAGGGCGTCAGCAAGGGGTGTCATGATACGGTCGAATTCCTCCTTGGACTTTAGGCCTCGTCCACCAGACACTACGCGCTCGGCGGTTGAGAGATCGGGACGTTCAGAGGTCGTGAGGTCTTCCGATACCCAGGTTGTGGCGGAAGGGGCGGCGGGGTCGACCCCGTCTGTTATCTGAGCGGAACCACCTGTTGATGAGCCTGGTTGGAAGGCAGTGCCACGGACTGTGAAGAATTTAATGGGATCGGTAGATTGGACCGTTAGAACGGCGTTTCCGGCAAAAATGGGGCGGACGAAAGCTGGATATCATGTCAGCGTTACTGTATTTGTTAGGATTGACTCTTTGTAGTCTGGAGCTTGACGTACTATCCTCGCCTTCGATGGCAGTGACATCTGAAACGGGCTGGGCGTCCATCATGGCAGCTACACGGGGTAGGACATTCTTCCCAAATGCCGAGTGACTTGCAACAACGTGTGTGAAGCCTCCCTTCTTGATATTCTCAACTAATAGCGGTGCGTAGTTCTCCGGCAGACCCTATATCCGGCAAGCCAGTCGGCCAGTCAGTCAGCATGCTACGCTACCACATAGCTATCCGGAACGTCACAAAGGTCGATAATACCTTATCGTAAGCCTCGTTCTCAACGGCCAACACAGTCTCTACACCCTCTACCTTGGCAACCTCGGTCGCAACACCGCTCTTGGCGCCCTTACCGGCGACAAACCCAGTGACGGGACCACCAAGTTTGATTGCAGCTGCAATAGCTGACAGTGAAGACCCAGCGATCTTGCCGTCGCGGTGCTCTAGAATGGCAAGGGTGGAAAGGAGGCGGGACAAGGAGGAGCGGGAGAACGGGCTCGTGCCGGCGGAGGGGTATAGGTGTCTGCTTGCCCGGAGGGCGCAAGGGCGGACGAGAGAGTTCATGGTTATGGTCGTGCTGCGAGTCTGCGTTCTGCTTGTCGTGTGAGTCCGGCTCAATCGAGTGATCAAAGGGGGTTTTTTTTGGAGTTGGAAAGAGAAAGCAAAAGTTGGAGGTTGGAGGTCGGCGCCGATAGCCGGGATGACTAAGCATCGGAAATTTTAACGCACACGGTTAGTATGGATACAGATATAAAGATGATGGATGGTAAGACGTAGAAGATATATAGATATATGAAGACTGAGGTAGAGAAAATATGCAAAAAGATAAGTAGTAAGAACGCTTTTATACCGAGTCCCAGGATCAAAGGTAACATAACATCATGCGCCGTACGCCGGATAACATAGACAAACGAAGGGTAGAACAACGGATGCAGGTCAAGCAGCCTTCATCTTCGCCAGCTTGGTCCTAGGTTTCTTGGAGATGGCCTTTGCTGGCAGCAGAGGAGCATCTCCATCGACCTTTGCAACGGCCTTGGCCTTCTGAGCCTTCAGTTTCGCCTTTCTCTGGAGCTCTTCCTCTTCTTCCTCTGCCTTCCCATCGGTAAGCAGCTTCGACTTTTTCGCCGTCTTGCCACCCTCTTCGGCCGCCGTGCCCTCAATGCTCTTCCTCTTCTTGCCCTTGACACCCTCTTCATCCTTCTTCTCGTTCTCCTTGACGTCTCCGTCTTCCAGCCAGAGCTCGTCCGCCAGCCACACGGGCATGGCAGCGGTGTTGGCCCCCTTAACATGCACGGCCTTCATATTCCGCCATCCACGCGAAACGTACTTGTCCACCATCCCCTCGACCACCGCGCTGATGTTCTCCACCAGCTTCTCTGCCGGCCAATTGGACCATCCGACGCGCAGGGCGGCAGTGGCGGCAGGAGACAGGTTGACAGGAACACAAGCGATCCCCTTCTCGATCTCCTTGGCCACTATACCCGGCGCCGCGACCGATGCGACCTTTTCATCAGTGGGCGGCCTCTTCTTATCCGCTGCCTTGACACGCTTGCCGTCTACCTTTTGGATCTCCTCCAGTCGCACGGGGATCGGCCGCTTCGACGACTTGAAGAAGATTTTACCCAGCGTGTTGACGAGGCGGAGTATGATGCGGTCGTCTGCGAGGAACAGGTCATGTTCGGAGAGTAGCTGTCTCCTGCTCTCGAACGACTTGTATCTATCTCGTAGTTTAGAGAAGCCGATGACCCGTGTTATCTTGGCCGCTAGCTCGCGGGGGAAAAGGGGGTCCGCAATGGTATCCTTGACCGCGCGCTGGGGGTCTGCGGTGATGAGGCAGACGTTGAGGGTGGGAGAAGGGTTGAGCGAGTGCGGCACGGTGAGCTTGCCCGGTTTCATCCTGTTCTTGTCGACGAGATGCTTCTTGGTGGTGAGGATGAGCCAGATGGGCGAGTTGTCTGTGGGTTCATCGTCGCTGTCGTCATCGCCCAGGGGGAGCTTCTTGACCGTCGAGCTGGCCGCCTTGCGCTGGTCTTCTGCCCGGATGTGCGAGAGGAGGGCAGTCGATGCGCGGAGTACCTAGCATCCTATCAGTACGGATTCTATACAGTGATGGCAGGGGGGCTTTTTACCTGACTGGTATCTAGCTGGTACTTTGGCCCTGAAGCCTTGACTACATCTGTAACCGCCATCTTGATGTCTCTATCTCTGTCACCCTCACTGTCTTTTCTTCACCTTCGACTAAAAAAAAAAAAAAAACCTTTCGACATCTCGGGCGGACTTTCTTTTCCCCGTATTAGTCATATTTCTTTGTCATCACTTACTAATGTTTAACACGTGACTGTACCTGCACCACACGCTATTACTAAGCAAAAGAAGAAACGAGGAAAAAACAAACGTTTTGACTTGGAAGAAGAAAAGTTCGACGTGGAAAACGCTTGGAGGAACCACGTTAAAAAAGAAAAAGATAAGTTGAAGATGGCGCGCAAGGCCGTTGCGGCAAGGTTGGAGACACAGCAAGTGAAGCCGGTCGAGGATGACGAATTGGCGACGGGACGGGGCAGTGGAAGATGGGACGAGCTAACGTCGACCCGTTCGTCGTCTTGTCTGCCTCTTAGTCTTCTTTTTAGCCTCGTTCGTTCGAGGCTTCAGCTGTCGTTTTGCCCCTGAATATCGCCACAGCACACAGCATAACGGGATCGCAGGTCAGCGCAACGACAGCAGCAGCAGCAACAACAACAACAACAGATAGCAGACAGCAGACGGCATATAGACATAAGCATCGATCTTGTCTTTTAATATAAATAAAATATAAATAAATGAAATAATAGTATTATATAATACGTTACCGGAAGAGGCAGAAAGTGGGTCCCCGTCAACCCCTTTCGGGCCGTGTATTTCCACTTGCGGCGGCCGTTAAAGCCACGCGGCGACTGCTGGACGAGGCTCTGCCTGACTGGCTGACCCCTGGCCCGCTTTAAGGCCACGGCCCTGGCGTCCCTCTGCCCACGCACACCCCCTTCTTCCTTTTTTTTTCTATTTCATCTTCGTCTTCCGCCTCTTTTTCTTCTTTCTCTCCTTCAGCTTCAGCATCTTCATCCTTTTCATCTTTCTTCTCTCTTTTTTTTATCATCTTCAGTCACTCTTTTGAAGTCACTCACTGTCTCTGGTGTTGTCTCTGCACTCACCCACACTCCTTTTTTTATTTTGCCAGGGACGCGTCTGTCTATAGCCCGGTAGGTCGCTGCATCCATGACAACAGACAATACGAGGCCGGTGCCGTGAGGATGGAAGATGAAGGCTGACCGATCAGTAGATACCGACTTGACGTCGCCAATTCATTCCTGTGTATCCTTTGTGAAAGAAAAAAAAAACTCATCTACATACAATGAAGTTCCTTTCTTCTGCCATCCTGACGCTGGCCGTTACTGGCTCTGTCCAGGCCTCTCGCCACGTCCATGGGCACGGCCACCGCCACGCCCGTCATCTCGAAAAGCGCGAGATCACCCAGGCCGCCGGTTCAACCGTCGTCGTCTTCGTTCTCGATGGCCAGGAGATCTCCAAGGACAAGGCCTGCGATGGCATCAAGGCCGGCACTCTCCTCTGGAGCGATGGCGGCGACCACAAGGACATCTGCAGCGGAGCCCCCCAAGCTCCTGCCCCAGGCCCGGCCGGCAACCAGTTCTACGAGGCACCTCCCAGCCAGCCCGCTCCCCCTCCGCCTAGCGAGACTTCTCCTCCCAAGGGCCATACCGAGTCTACTCCCAAGAATGAGGAGCCTAAAGAGCCTAACGAGCCAGAGGAACCAAAGGAGCCCGAAGACCCCGAAGACCCCGAGCTTCCTGACGGTGAGGGTGCCGATTTGGAATTCCCTGACGGCAAGATTCCCTGCAGCGAGTTCCCATCCAAGTACGGTGCCATTTCTCTTGACTACCTAGGCCTGGGCGGTTGGTCTGGTATCCAGTTCCCCGAGGATGTCGGCAGCGGCTACGGCAACATCCGCACCGCTATCTCTGGCCAAGGCTGTGAGGAGGGAGCCATGTGCTCTTACGCCTGCTCTGCCGGCAAGCAAAAGACCCAGTGGCCTTCCAGACAGGGCGCGAAAGGCGAATCCGTTGGCGGTCTCGAGTGCCGCAACGGCAAGCTCCCCCTTACCAACCCAACACTCTCCAATAAGCTTTGTATGAGCGGTGTAGGTGGTGTCTACGTCAAGAACCACCTTAGCGTGTCCGTCGCCGTCTGCAGAACAGATTACCCCGGTACCGAGGAGGAATCCATCCCTCTCGATGCCAAGTCTGGCGCCACCTCCCCTCTCACCTGTCCCAAGGCTGAGGACTACTACACCTGGAAGGGCATGCACACCTCTGCCCAGTACTACGTCAACCCAGCTGGTGTTCCAGTCTCCACGGCTTGCAGGTGGGGCTCCGCAGGCCTCGACTATGGTAACTTCGCTCCTCTCAACATGGGTGCTGGCCAGGTGAACGGAGTGACCTGGCTCTCCCGAAT